TTTCTTGTTGAACTGAAGAACATCATCTGGGGTCGACTGAACTCAGTCTAGGGTCCATCAACTTCCAAGGATAAGAGACGTGCTACAAATGCAAAGTAACCATATAATAAGTAGAAAGAAAGCAATGTAATCTAGCTTCCAAAAGGCGGACGACATGTACTCGAATCTCACTTTCTTTTATGTAATTTAGCACTGAATTTCATTTTCGGTATGTTGGACTTTACGTATAAGTTGCACCTTAATTACTAATTATCTCCTTGCTAATTTGCTCGTTAAATTAAAATCACATACAGGGAATGACACTCTTGACCTTGTCAGCCGTGATCCCCCAACTCCTGCCGCCTCCATGCAACCCATCTGCCTCGTCACTGCCGTGCCAAGAAGCCAACGGAGGCCAGCTCGCAGTACTATACATGGCTCTCCTGCTCGGGGCCATCGGGTCAGGTGGGATCCGGCCCTGTGTGGTCGCGTTTGGGGCCGACCAGTTCGACGAGACCGACCCGAAGCAATCTACCAAGACGTGGAAGTACTTCAACTGGTACTACTTCGTGATGGGGGTTTCGATACTGGTGGCGGTGACGGTGGTGGTATACGTGCAGGAGGATGTGGGGTGGGGCTTGGGGCTCGGGATCCCAACCGTGCTCATGTTCTTGTCAGTGATTGCATTGGTTTGTGGGCACCGATTGTACCGGATCCTCGACCCGGCGGGGAGCCCGTTTACCCGGCTGTTGCAGGTGTCAGTTGCCGCGTTTAGGAAGAGGAAGGTGAGTGTCAGTGGGGACAGGAAGGCGGTGGAGTTGTACCGCAACGATGAGCTCGACACGGCGATTTCCTTAGGCGGGAAGCTCGTGCACACCGAGCATATGAAGTGAGTCTCTCTCTCACACACAAATGTTATTGCAGAAACTCGTTTCCATGAGTCAAGAAAGGATTCAAGTTATAGTGGATCACATCTGTTTGGTTAATAATCCCAGCACTCAAACGAACCATAAGATAAATATATTTGACTCATCTTTCGTATTGGTTGATGTTAGATTAGCGATGGAGATACATAGGTTCAAAGCCACAGGTATGATGAACGTAGTTAAGTCCACTGATATACGAAACATAGGTGAACACGTATATTTCTCATATTAGGTTAGTGACGTAGAATGCATATATTAGATGTGGGCGATGTTGGAGTCAATGATTGTTCGTATATATCTCTGACAATCTTCGTCGAATGCGATACCCTTCCAAAATTTTCACGTCCGGGCAAATTTCTTTTTCGTTTTTCTCTCGTTTAATAGGAAGGAGCGGATAAAGATAAACCCGTATGAAGATCATCTTCACCAGTCCACCGCATATCACCTTCTCTTTCCTTCACAGAAATGAAAAAGGAACAGAAGAAAAACTTTACGTGTTGGAAGCAACTATCGTGGTTGTCATTTCGGTGCAAGTACAAGGGTGACTCGATCACTTGTCGATATGCGCCCGAAATACCACATTCCGTGTTCCTTGTCACAGAGATCTGTGTCCTTTCGCCATTCTGTCTTCTGTACAGATACGGCTCCGTGCCGAGGTTTGCGTTTTCCAATGGCCCCTCGTGGCTAAGGAAACCTTAGTGCTCCGGGAACATCCTAGGACGTTGCCTGACTCCGATTTGCTGTCACAATAGGATTTATGCGTGTTCAGTATAACTCGGAGGCGACAAGAAGATGTCGAATTTCGATTACGTTTAATGCTACTCATTCAAATCTCAGAAATTTTCTGGTTCATAGAGGAAAAGGAGTGCTTAAAAAGAGAAATGCTAGATAAACTAATAAAGTAATTTACAAAATGTTGCGAATCAAATGAAGAGACGTCATATGAATGGATATATACAATGTACAGATTCCTTGATAAAGCGGCGTTCGTGACCCAAGAAGACGACCCGAAGTCGCCGAACCTGTGGAGGCTGAGCACGGTCCACCGGGTGGAGGAGCTCAAGTCCGTGATCCGCATGGGCCCGATCTGGGCCGCTGGGATCCTGCTCTTCACGGCGTATGCCCAGCAAAACACCTTCTCCATCCAACAGGCCAAGACCATGGACCGACGCCTCTCCAAGTCCTTCCAAGTGCCGTCCGGGTCGATGCTGGTGTTCACCATGATCAGCATGCTCACCACCATCGCCTTCTACGACCGTGTCTTCGTCCCAGTCGCCCGCCGGTTCACAGGCCTCGAGCGCGGCATCACCTTCCTCCACCGCATGGGGATTGGCTTCGCCATCTCGATCCTCGCCACTCTCGTCGCAGGTATATTGATCGGACCTCAAGATTTACCTATTGGGATCAGTTTCCTCTGGTTTACCTCATCCTTTGTAAGTGCATTGGTCGTAAGACACCTTGTTTCGTATCAATCAGTTCACTTGCTCTCCATAGGTCTGGTCGAAGTGAAGCGAAAGCAAGCCGCGTCGCAGCATGGCCTCACCGACTCTCCGCACTCGGTCATCCCCATCTCGGCCTTCTGGCTGGTGCCCCAGTACAGCCTCCACGGGATCGCGGAGGCCTTCATGTCGATCGGGCACCTCGAGTTCTTCTACGACCAGGCGCCGGAGAGCATGAGGAGCACCGCCACCGCGCTGTTCTGGACCACCATCTCGGCCGGCAACTACCTGAGCACCCTCCTGGTGAGCGTCGTCCACCGTTACACCGCGGGGGACGACGGTTCCAACTGGCTCCCCGACGACAACCTGAACAGGGGCAAGCTGGAGTACTTCTACTGGCTGCTCACTCTGCTGCAGGCCGTGAACTTCGTATACTACGTGTGTTGCGCCAAGTTCTACACGTTCAAGCCTGTTCAGGTCCATGGAATGGAAGGTGGTGACAAGTCAGAGGAAGATGAAGTCGAGCTTGCAAGCAGAGCTTAGCAGATAGCGTCTGGTGGTTGGACAAAATACCCTGGCTAAATTACAGTTTCAATCCTCTATGCTGTCTGAACTTCTTTTATTTTCCCCGTCCTTTAGCTTTCTGATTTCCTCAAGTTCAATTCGAGCAATCAAGCATTATACTCGGGGATCACATGGTTGATATTACGAATTATATGCAGCGATAGCTTTCTGATCTCCTCGAAAGGTTGCCGGTACGCATATTTTGCCGGGTTGTGTTTTCAATTAGTGATTAAAGTGCAACTGAGGACGATCGATGACCTATCCAAGTGTCGAATTTGACTTCAAGCCGAAAGTAAATGGATCTTGATTTACCTCGAAGTCTTGAGAACTTTGTAAAATATCAAACAATATGCAGTCATTAGAAGAAAATTAAGCGAAATTCTATATAATCGGAATGTCACCCTTGCTCGACGAGTGAAATTGAACGCAAACTTCTTCATGGAGATGATTGGAGTGTGATGAGAAGATCAAAACTTCCAGGAAAGCTTTTAAAATCTAAGATGGTTAATGAAATTAGGAAGCCTAATTAATCTGATTTGAATTTCAAATTCAAATTCAGACATAATCTATTCTAAATCAATCCGTCACCAACGATCTCCTTATTTTCATAATTTGGTGTGCTCTTCGTGATTTTTGACATCTTGATTGCTTAGGTGTTGATTGGTGCAACTGTATAGTTTGTGTTCGCTTTGATTCCTCCTGAATGCATCTTGATTATTTTCCACAAGAATGTCTAACTGTTTTAACTTGCGTGCTACTTTAGGAATGATCTGTTCCCGATATCCTAGCTATGTTATCCCTCGGTCCATGGATTCTCTAGACTCTATATTTAACTTTTGCACATACTTCGAGTCAACTGATCATGGCTACATGTTATATACTTCATTAAAACCGTGCTTACCGGGAACTCATAGTTGATAACCTCATTAGGCATTCTATCGATGGGCCTTGTGTCAATTGTACCGATGTGGCCTTCATGGTCGATGAGCTTGCTAGACATTTTACCGAATGGACCAAGGGGTTAAGTCACCATTGCCTAATTTGAGCAATTAACCTTTTTTGTGTGTTTGGATCCATATTTTGAATCCGGTGTCAACGGTCGTGCAATCTCTATGTGGGTCGTGCTATCCCTCCGCGATACAGGGGCAGTCTTTTGCCAATGGCAAAGAGTAAAGCTACCTCGTCCTTCGATAGTGTCATGCGGATAAAAGCTTTGAAACATGAAAGATTAGATCCTTGTTGCTCGAGTGCTCGAAGGTCAAGTTAAACATGTCCAACGTTATAAATTCTTTAGCATATCAATCTTGACACGGTGAGGCAGCGTTATTCGTTAATCTCCCACTCATGGCAAGTGCACTTTTTTTTTATTAGAATAGTAAGGACACTCAGTTCACAAAATCTTGCATATGTTCCTCCACCGTCTCTGCCTACCTCGAATCATTATAAAAAATTTCAAATAAGGACATAAAGTACTATCATTTCTTAAAAAAGAGCTCAGATTGACGCTGACACCAGCCTCCATTGTTGATATGGTTACATTTCTTTGAGCGCGGCCAAAATAAACAAGAGCTCTCTAGAGATCGACTGCCTCTGAAATCCTCTAGCAGATACCAGCGTGAGAGAAGTTAACGTCGCTCGAGAAGAAAATCGAAGAATCCGATAAAAGGAAGAACCATAAGAGCAAAGGAAAACCTTGACGGTGACCAACGACGAAGTTCGAGCTTGAAAAAGAACGGTGAAGAAAAGAAATAAATAAATATATTTATTTTTGAACAAAAACTCCTTTGATTAGTCGAAAAACTTGACTCATCGATATCTTATTTTAAGCTGATATGGTCACTTCGAACTTTCATTTGAAGCGGGATCACTTTGGGCAACGCCTATTTGGAATTTTTCCCACGCGAAGGGGGGACATGAACCCAAGTTCCTTGGGCCGACCGCAAGTCCCTCGGATTCGCCCACTTCCTCTTTCCTCCTCACGTTCCGTTGTTTCTCGAAAGTCTTGGTCCACTTTATTCCCTCTCCATTCACCAATTTCCAACCTTTATTCCTTCGACCCTTCCATATATGGGGTTGCCTTCAACGAAGAACCGTCGTCGCGATCACCATGGATGCAGCGCAGAGGAACCACCGCGGCCCCTCCAAGGACGCCGCGTCCGCGTCGCCGGCGCCGGCGGCGGCGACGCCTCTCTCGGGCGTCGCCGACGCGTTCGAGAAGCTGGCCGGCTCGCTGAGTGGTGACCGCTGGAGGAACGGCGGCGGGGGGATCCGGCTGGACGCTCTCTGCGACGCCTGCGGTCCCGTCTCGGTCCTGTTCGGTTGCCTCGGGATGGCCTTCAAGTTCGCCGAGCTGGAGTTCGTCTCCAAGGTGAGAGTCCTTCTCTTGCTCTCTCTTTCCCGGAATTGTCTCCTGCGGAATTTGGCTCTTGTTCCTGCTACTGCTAGTACGCGATCGTCATCGTGCGCGCGGTTTGATTCTTCGATTTCTTCGTAGTTGTGGTTTTCGTGCGAGGGTTCACCTGTCGGAGAGTGCCTGTTTTGCCTCGGTCTAGATGATCGGTGCTACTCGAATTCGATGCGCATGGACTGTTATGAATACAACTGACACTTTTGTTAGCTTTTCACTGCTATGACAAATAGGAAAAAGAGAGTGCACGTTTTGCCTCGGTCTATTTGATTGGTGCCTACTCGAACTCGATGCGCATTGACTGTTATGGCTACAGCTGACCCTTTTGTTAGCTTTTCACTGCTATGACAAATAGGGAAAAAAAAAGAGAAAAGAAAAGAAAAGGATTGACATGATTCCCCTGATTATCGGATTCGCCACCGGCATGATAAGGCAAGGCGGCAGTCATGGTCAATGGAAAGAAACGCGAGAGACTCTTGCCTGTAGCGAGGCCATCATCGGTGTCCCAGCATGTAGTGTTTGTTGCATTTCTCTCTGTCTTGATCGCTTCGTGTCTGAATTTGGCCATGAGCCACCATATCAACCGGATAACTATTGAGACAGAGTTCATAGCTACTCCTACTCTTGATTCCTGCTTAGTTTTCTACAATTTCCATGGCAATGGCGATTCTCTGCTAAAAGTTCACGTGCCCACATTCCCTGTTACCATGAGAAAATGCAATGCATCCCCTTTGTAGTCAACTCTCTTGCATCTGGTTGACATATTGAAGCCATCACGGTCTCAGTACTCGTGATTATCTTAGTTTCTTGTGGCTCTGGAATTATCATCCTTTTCTTTCCTTTGCATATGCAGATTGAGTTTGCTCGTTTTTATACTTTTATAGGGGTAGATTAACTTAGTTGTCCTTGAATAAGTGAGGTAAATGTTGGATGAACACCAGAGGGAAAAAAACAGAAGAAGAGGTTTGGTTGTTTTCTCTGGAATGTCTGTCCTGCAGTCCTGCTTTGCTGCTTGAATTTCCTGAACCTGCTATACCCTGAAAATATTGGCAGGGCATCAGCTACCTTTGCTTTAGATTTACACTTTCATGTCTTTTATGTTTTTTCATAGAATCAAACGCTTGACCTTTCTAACATGGGTTTCCAATTAATCAAGAGATGTACTTTAGGAGATTTGATACTCTAAATGAACTATTTATTGGAACTATGGACACCAATCTGATTCCCTCATGTTGAATTGATGACTAGCACAAAAAAACGTGTCATCTAAGTTCAACAATACCAGACGGTTGTATTAATTGTTTCAAAAATATAAATAGGCATCATTATAGATGTAAACATCAGAAGTAATTCCACACACTAAAGATGGCTTGTGCTTCTGCTTTTTTTTTTACTTTTTCAATTTTCTATTGAAGAATTAAAGTCTTTTTTCCTTGAGCCTTTCATGGTTAAACCTTTTTGTGAAAAAATATATGCACGGATTAAGATTTGGGCTCAACGCATGTATTTGTTTATGTTTTGGTTCACCTTTTACTTTGGGCTCTATTTGCTACACTAACCTTCAGTTTTGGATGGAGTGATAGAAAGGAAAAAAAAAGATTTAATTAATGATGAGGGAAAAGAAGAGAAATTATTTAATATGATTGAGTTTTGATGTTGTTTGGATGCTAGCAAGGGAAATGAAAGGGAAAAAATGCATTATGATGTAAAAGTCATTTTATGTATTTACAATAGATGTAATAAGAGTTTAAGAGGGATAGACGAATAGATCTTTTAATTACTACACGAATCCCTCGAAATCTCTTTGAAACAGCTTAAGCTTTTAGAACAATTGGCTATGGTCCCACAAAATCTTGCGTGGTATCAGAGCAGGAGGTCCTGAGTTCAAATCTTTCCAGGCTCCATTTGTCTCATCAATTAAATATTTCCACACTTAGTTCAAAAAGACCAGACTAAGCGTGAGGGGGAGTGTTAGAGTAATTAAATAATAAACCACGCCTTCATCTAACAGCTTAAGCTTTTAGAACAGTTGGCTGTGGTCCCACAAAATCTTACATATAAAATTGACGAGACCAATCTCTCCTAATCTCTCCTGATCTCTCCTAATCATTTCCCTTTATCTCTTTCCCTCCCTCCAAACATGATTGTGTTTATAGAACCCTTCTCTTCTCTCCCAGTTTCTCCTAACAAACAAAGTGGAAAGGAATGAATAACTAAGACCCTTTATTTCTCCATTTAGTAATTAATAACATGTCAAATTTATGCATATCTTGCTAGGTAGCCTCTAGCTAATTCGCAATTCATGAGCATCTATGACCAATAGCTGTGCCTAAATTTTTTTCGCGTCATCAGTGCTTTTAATACAGAGAAAAGCCATGTATCTGATGCTAACTTGCTTGACAGGTGTGTGATCTAATGGAGGCATCAAAAAAATATGGCACTTTAGAGAAAATAATTGATTTTGATGTTGCCAATTGCACGGTGAAGAAGCAAGGAAGCCACACGCGGAATCTTCGTCGGGTTAGGCTAGGTCTGGACCTCATCAGAGCTTTATTTGAGCAATTTCTGTCTTCTCAGTGAGTATGGCTTTTCTATTCTAGCTGTTTTATCTGGTTACCTGTTGAAACAGCATAGGATAATAAGATGGAGCTTACTTCAGATTCACATGCTATATATTGTTCCTCTTTTGAATCTATGGTGAAGTTTCACTCACTATTGTGTTCTGACCGCGGATGCTAAATTCCTCCTGTAATTTCTCAAATTTGAAGGAATCATATTATATGCAAGGAAAAGGCATAAATTAGGATTTTTCTATTGAATATTAAGAGGAGAAGGAATAAAGTTGGAGATATGGTTTACTTGCTTTTCTCGCGAGTGCTGTTTTTTTCATAACTTGATATGGCTATACGGGTGGAGGGTCCATTAGTAACACTAACTAAAGTCTCTTCAGCTTATCGAGATAGTTACTAAGCAAGCCATTTTCTATGTTTCCATGCTGAGCATCCTGCTTGATAGAGGTTGAATATCCATGTAGATAAAGCTCGGTGGCCTCCGCATTTATTGAACTTTACGTCTAGGTTTTCATCTGTGGACTTAACATTCCCTGACTACTCTCATTCCCAGTGACAACTCCTTGAAGGAAGCAGCTACCACAGCTTATTCCCAGGTTTGTGCACCATATCACTCATGGGCAGTCCGGACAGCAGTTTATACAGGAATGTATGCCCTCCCGTCAAGGGATCAGCTTCTGCTAAAGCTCAAGGAGAATGGTAATTTGTTTTGCATGATTGCATATTATAGGCATAGGACTGTAAAGTCTGCTACATCTGTTTTTATATGTTTTTTTTTCCTGAAAACAAATGCCTGCGAGTAAAATTCATTGAACGCAAGACTTTTGATGAATTAACAATATTTCAATGTATCTTTTATACAGACTGGTTTGAGGCCTAACCTCATAAATTTGAGTTGATGGATGGTTTGATGCTTTGAAATAGTCTAGTCTCTAATCTTCTTTCTTTTCGCTAGATAGTCTAATGACCAAGTTATGGATGATAATCTCTCTTGCCATTGTCAGAAACCTTTCCTGTTCAATTTTGTCGAAATGCTTCCGACCAAAAACAAAATCTGTTGAAATACTCAACCCAGGGATAGGAGTAACAACTAAGATGATTGCATGACGTACTTTTAGTTGCTTAAGCTTATCTGTGTTAAATCCAAAACCAAAACTTGCATTGCTTTATCATTTTAATGGCAAAATTATGAATCATGCTTGTGCGCTTGAGTCCAAAAGGCATTGCGGATGTGGTTTGGTGGTTCCGGAGTATGCTCGCAATAGAGACTTTTGCAGGAGTACAAACGACAACCCACAATCCTTTAATTAATATATTCTGCAAAACGTGAGTTGGAATCCAATCATTGGAAAATGCCAGTAAACCGCAAATGGTGTTCTTTCTCAAATCTGTCTGTCTTCCGTGGTTGCAGATCATAGTGCAGAAAAGAAGATGAGAAGGTACATCAACGCCTGTATCCCAGTGATCGAGTACATCGACAAGCTTTACCTATGTAGGAACATAACATTGGATTGGTGATCTAGTGTGTGTGCATGGACGGCAAACACATGATGGATCACAAAGTGGTAGCTACGCCAAACTCGTCATCAGCTCCAATAGAACCCAACCCGTGGAAGGGATCATTTAACACTTAGTCATTAGCGCAGGACGTACTTTCTTCTTGTATGTAATGGAACAACCATTTTCTTTTCGTTTTCCTCCTTGAGGCTGTAAGCCATTGTAGGAGGGGACTGCGTGGCCCAAACATCATCTTGCAGGAGCTCTGGTGCTCTACTAGCAAAAGGCCGTATCTTTTATGTTTTAGGGAATAATGCCCGCTAATACTCAATTACTCTTGAAATTCAGAACTTTACTGGGTACGTTTTCCATTCAAAAGTACTCGTAATTGGTCTTTCCGTTCGGGTGCTCTATCGTGATGCTGATTTGGGTGTGCGGCAATGGTGGAGACGCTCTCCCAACCGCCCTCAATTCGAATATTTTTTCTCTTTGAATCCGCCAATCACTGCCGAGCGCCGACCCTCGTCGGAGGCCTGGTCAGATTGGACAAGGGTTTCAATCGTGAGTTGTGACCAGGGTTGCTGTCTAAAGATCTCATCATGGGCGTCGTGCTCAAGCAACCCCCGCGAGGAGGGTTACCGGCGATACCATGAGGCCTCCTCTTAGAATAAGAAGGTCCATCGCGGGGAATGCTGCCAAATCAGCTGGCCGAAAGTAGAGCGGCCACCGGCGAAAGCCGGCGGACGCACGGGTGCGTGCCGAGCGGAGGCAACCGGTGAAAATTCCAAGAAGCGATTTATAAATAATAGAGGAAAACAAGACAAAAGAAAGAAAAGCAGGAGGCGGGGGGCAGTCGCAATCCCCTCTTGTCTGGCCGGCCTTAGCTGTCGTTTGGATCCATTCCATCCGGATTACGTCACCCTCCCCTTTCGTTTTTTTTTCGCTTTTATTATTGATGACCCGACCCTCTTTCGGACAGAACGTTTTCTTTTTTCTAAATTGATTTTTTTGCTCCATTAATTTGAGCACCGTTTGATCGTTGCGATGGCTCGGGATCCCGACGTGCTGGTCCCAGCAACTTGCTGGGATGGCGAAATGGTAGGGCCCCCCGATCCTTGATTCCCCGATCTCCGTTGCCCCGCACTCGGAATTCATTCACGCACGTGCCGGAATTCGCACGCACTGTTGCAACTTTGTTTAATCTAAATCAGTGGATGTCAATCGGTCAATCGGGCCGAATTCCCGAACTCGAGATTCGCTCCACCATAACGGAGTGTGCCGTGTCCTCCCGAAAAGTAAATGGGAACGCACGGAAAGGAGAAAGCGGGGAAAAGAGAGTTGCGGGGGGGTGATAGTGGGACGCCCAAAAGTCACGTGATTTGCGATCATTACCCCGCGCGTGAGGACAAATGTGATATTTGATGCCAGTACATTCGCACGTCGTGTGCTATGAGGGGAGTGATTTGAAGATTGATGTCTTACGTTGGTCGTTTTCCCATTTCTCTCGATTCGATCTCATTCTTGGCATTCCCCATTTCTTTTCTGTGCACTTATACTTTACTGCTTTTACTAAACACCTTGATTGTCAATAGATATTTTTATGAGGGCGCGTATTCGCGCGTTGTACTGATGCAATCCTTTCTGCGGAAATTCAATATCAAAGAATCATGCATCTTCATGATTTATTCATTAATAAGAGGGATGAAGACACGTAATTCATCCGTAGCAATAATTTCAAGAAATATTGTTACGGAAACAGGCGAAACGAAGAAATCCTATTGCTCTCTCTCTCAACCCATTTTTTGACGGATTTCATCTGTAGTTGAGAGAGGACTTGACTCTTTATATAAGATATTAATAAGTGCCTTCAATAAGTACCTTCCATCAAAGCACATAAAATATTATATCTTCATAAAAGTTGCGACTTTAATAGCCATTTTAGCATTCGAATAACCATTAAATCGTTAATAATATCACGTGGACCGTAATCGCTCTTCCACTAGAGGGATTAGACCATGCATTATAGACTTGCTCGCGCGTCGGGCATCTTGCACATGGACAAAAGCATATTCTTCTTCTTCTTCTTCACCTTCCAGCAGAAGGTTAAGGAAGATATTTATTTGGACCGAGCAAATCGCTCGTCCGTGGGCCTCCGATTTTGGATGCTTGTGGTCAGCAGGACAAGGACAGAAATCGATTTTAAATTGCCCTCGAAATGACACGAAGGAGGGCACCACCGCCACTTTCCAACATCTGGCAGTTGGCCCAACACCAAAAGACGGGAGGAAAAATCAGGTTTTGGAGAAATGTTTTCGAGCTACTAGTTATCTAAAGAGGAGCAGATGAATCGGATCACCTTACGAAAGCGATACGAACGAAGTCATCGGTTATGGAACGTGGTTAGACGACCGGCAAAGCTTCGAAGACGCGGTTGAGTCCGTCGTTATTTACAAAGTAAGATCCTTTTTGTCGCGAGTGCTAGAAAGACGGTGAAGACGTTCGTGGCACGTGAGATGATTTAATCTTGTCCTAAAACCACCTGTTTCGAATTTTAACAATCTAGAATGGATTAATTCACCATTCATGAATTTTTAAAAGAGTATCTTTTCTTTTTTTTGCTTTCTAATATTAAGAAAATGGTTAATACCACGAAAAACTCAAAACTGATACATCTGTGATAATTTTACCCCGAACTAATTTTTTTTGCCACAAAAAACCCTAAACCGGTACACCTATGATAAATCTACCAAAACTTAATTTTTTTACCACAGAAAACCCCAAATCGGTACACTTATGGCAAATTTACTATCCGTTAAATTGGATTAAAAGCACGAAAAATCACAAATTAGTAAATATATGACAAACAGAGTGGTGAAACCCCAAATTGGTACACCCGTCAACTATCATGTGTCATCAAACTTAGCAATTTGACTGTACAATTTAACGGAAACTAACGGAGGGTAAATTTATCACAGGTGTACCGATTTGGGATTTTTTATGATCAAAAAAATTAGTTCAGGGTAAAATTATCGCAGGTGTGCCAGCTTAGGATTTTTTTTGGTGTTATCCCTTCAGAAAACAAGGGACCAAAATATGTAAGTGTGAGGATAAGACAGCTTTTGTGATTCGCCAAAGTTTTAGAATCGGAATTGTGACCGCGAGAAAGATATACATGTAAGTGAGAAATACGATATCAATAGCTGGTTATCGTGAATTCTCTCGTCTAATCAAACACCGTGGCTTCTCATCAGCATTTGGGAATTGCAATAGATAACCACATATGATCGAATAAATGATCACCGGTTAATATGTTAGTGTAGTGCGACACGAATGCGGTTTATTGAACGAGTAATGCTAATTATTAGATACAATGAGATCGATCTAATGAAATTGATATGCTAAATAAAGCGACACGCCATAAACAAAATAAGTTGCGTCGAACGATCGAAGAGGTTTATCGCATCACGTGAGATCCGGATTCCGCATCTCAATTTCAGTACACTCTCGTGCATTATTTTTTTATTTTTTTATTTTTGGTAACCCTGGGAACCCACGCACGGCCGTCGGGAGGTAAAACCCCAGGGGCGACACGCTAGCCACCACACACGTGCACCGGTTAAGTCGCCTGCGGCGCCCGGGATTCGAACACCCAACCTTTTGCGAGAGGAAGAATGTCTTTTCTAGCAGCGCCACCAGGCGGGTGGTCTCTCGTGCATTATTTATTCGTGGAAAAACGGAATTTTGGATGTGCAATAGAATAAATTTTGTTTGGACTTGACGACTGCCAAGTTCGGCACGCCACCCTCCCTGCCTCGGACGGCTGCTTTGACTTTGTCGCGAAGTTGCTGCCCACCACGATGTTTCCCGGTCGGACCAGTCAAAGTTTCGATCTTCAATCCAACCGTCGTCGTACCTCCGAATCTGGCGCCGACCGTATTGGTCTGAATAGACGAATTTATGTAATCATCTTTCCCGAGACTCTAATCTCTGCCCCCGCGATGCTTCGTATTGTCAAGTACGTGGCCCATCGTCGACGATCAAGGAAAGCAATATCGACTTCGGCAGGCATCAATACTGAATGCCGCTCGGTTATCGATGCACGACTCGATATGGCTGATGATGATCGACAAAACTATCGATTGACGGGCTTGAAGAACCGTCGTAACGCCGAAAAGAAATTAAACACGTAAGGAGCATCACGATATAGTTATGCCCTTGAAGTTACCAGAAAGCAGAGTAATTGCGACCTTGGGACAACGGGTGTATGTTTTTAGAGGAACAATTGTTTGGAACAAGATCATGGCGTCGTATGAGCACAAGATTTTCGGAAGTTGAGAAGCATGGACTCAACCACTATTAAATACCATTAATCATCTACTGAAGAGCCATGCACAAATCAAACAAATTTACTATCTTTCAATATATTTACCATCTTGCATTGTACTTTTATTCTTAACTGTAATTTTTAGATCCGCGTTGTCGATTAAATTTCGGTATGGACCTTTATTCCGGGTGTTGAGTCGACGATTAAATCTTGGTATGATATCTTAATGTTCTTAGGCCGTGTCGTCGATTAAATTTCGACACGGCTCACATATGTCCAGTCATGTTTGAACTCGAATAGTTGCCTTTTATCACTTACGATATTTCCTATCCAAAGTCAGCGCAGAACCTATTTCGTTTAATTAAAAGCCAAAGAACGACTCTCGATGAAAGATATTTCGTCCTGATAAAAATTTCAGTGAGACACTAATTAATGCGTATTTTAATAAACTTTTTGCTTGAGTTTTGGAACTTCAGCTTGTTGTTAGATGAAAAGGTGTCGCCATTACATGGTACAAACATCATACAAAAGGTACTTTCTCACTTTCTATCTCTTTCAGCTCCCTTCGATTAATTAAATTTCAATATATCAAGCAAGATTAATATGTGCCGTAACCGAAAAATGAAACTACATGAGCTTTCACCTTGCCCTTCCCTTTCGTTTTTTCACGTTTTTATTGCAATCTACAAAAACTGCCATTTCTATATGCTTAATCACTGGGGTTTGCCTCAGTGGCCACTCTTCCTACTTAGGAATGGGAAAGTGCGGTGTTCGATTCCCCATCTTCTTAAAAAGGCTAGGAGTTGGGACGTTCAGTTTCGGATGTGAATTTTGACTTTCGCGCTCTGCAAAGAGGTATGACAAAAGTTTGAGAAACTATAGTAATGACCGCTCGCATATTGACATTAATATGTTTTTGCTCACGGCGTAATTTCTTCCATAACAATCTAGCCATCCTACGTGGCATGACCAGCGCTGATGTGAAAAAAAAAATCAAAATTTTTTAATGAATCTAAAATTTCTTGAATTTTCCTTCTTCATTTTTTTTCCTTTTTCCTCCACCAGTCATTGGGCGTCTGCGATGGCCGGCGATTGGCCATAGAAGAAGAAAAAAAAGAGAAAGAAATTCAAAATAGTTATAATATAATTCATAAAATTTAAACAGTTCAAAAAATCGTCCACGTCAGCGTCGGGTATGCTCACGGCGTAATTTCTTCCATAACAATCTAGCCATCCTACGTGACATGACCAGCGCTGATGTGAAAAAAAAATTTAAAATATTTTTAATGATTCTAAATTTTCTTGAATTTTCCTTCTTCTTTTTTCCTTCTTCCTCCACCAGTCATTGGGCCTCCGAGATGGCCAGCGATCGGCCATAGAAGAAGGAAAAAAAGAAAAAAAAAAAGAGAAAGAAATTTAAAATAATTATAAATAATTCATAAAAATTTTAAAAAATTCAAAAAATTGTCCACGTCAGTATCGGGTATACCACGTAGGATGTAGGATGGTTAGCGTCCACGTCAATGATTACCGGTCAAAATTGGCCGAAAATGACTCCACTGACAAATTCTTATAATGTTTAAGACACAATCGGAATGCTGATGACTGAATTGGCATATACACAATAAGTTTAAGACTTTTTCTTAATTTTCCTTGAAGTCTTTTATAAATGATTTAAGAGAGGCTATTGCAATTGTGGAAACATCATTTTCTCTATAATATAGGAAACTCAAACCTTGCGACTCAGTTCATCTTCATGGATATGTGTAAATCGACCATTCATGCGCTTCGAGTAAGGCTCCACTTCTAAAGTGACGAGCACAACTCCCTTGGATATTGTGAGTTGGGACATGATTTGAATATAGGATTTGCTAAATCCAAACCAATAGCTCAACATTAGAAAAATCATTAGCTACACTGAAGATGAAGTTACACTTGATGACAAATGACTATAAATTGCCTGAAATGTGGAATCATACTTCTATATGCGGGACTCGCAAGCTGGAGGGAGTTTATTCGATTGATTGGCTGGGCGGTTTTGCCACATTCGTAGGAACAAGCAAAACTTTGGGTTTCGTGGTTGGGACTCAACTTCGCAAGATAACTTGATTTTCATAAGATCATCATCGATATGGATTCTAAAGCCATCAATGATCTTGTTGATCCATAGTTATTATTGATAATGTTGGCATTGTTTTGCTTAAATACATCAGAAGACTGTTGCGCTCTTACTTTGAGTTTAAAGTGCAACATAAATTTTGGGAAAAAAGTCGCTCTGCTAATTGGTTTACCAATCTTGGAATTGATAAGCGTTTAGATAATAGTTTCTTTTCATTATCTCCTAGAGACTTACTTCGTGTTTTATCAGGCGATAAAATAGGGACAATAGATTTGCGATATTAAATTTTTGTATTCAGCTTTAGTCCTTTTTCGTACCAAAAAAAAAAATGCCTGCTTGGAATATAACATGCTCCTTCTAGACGATGGCAAACTCGTGATCAGATACTGGCGACATGTGTACGTTGGATATATTCACGACAAAAAGGAAGGCTTCATGTTGAATTTCCATCTCAATTTATATTTTAATTCAAAGAGATTCTCTAGAAAGATCATTCGGAAAATATAATTTTAACTAAACTTGCAAGAGAAGGTGAGGGGATGGATTTGGCTGGTTGTATGTTAAGATGAAATCAACCCTTTTAACCCACATCGACTCGTTTTTTCTACGTTACAACGTGTAAGTCCTGTACTCAATTCATATAACTCAAATTTATAGATGTTATTGCACTTGAATGATTCAGATCTCGCTCCTAGGGAGGTCGGCAATGGTGTCCCTCGGCGGCCTCGTGCTACTTAGTCGTAAAACCATTTGCATTAGCTCTTTCTGCTCATTTTGCACCGCTCTACTCATTTTGCTATACCGCGAAAGTCAAAAGATATGTGATCTTTTTACCATTAGGCTAAGCACGTGACATGCGCACACTGAGCTCCTTTTTCGTAGGTTATAATTTGTATGGGATGAAAGAAGATTGATTGAATTTGCATAACAAAAGCTGGTCATGTCATCCTAACAGAGATGACTACTTCATACTCCTTCCCTGTCAAGGTGATAATTATCAATGGATTTTTTCTTATGTCGTGCATAATCTGAACTTATGGGATGTGGATAATGAATTTTAAAAGTTGGCTCTATAACAAAGATGCATAGTCAGTCAATATACGTACAAAACAATTGTGTTATCAGGTAAAAGTCATTTGTTATCTGAATTTGTGCATTTCTCAATCAAGCTATTGAGTTTTTAATTTGTCCAATCAAATCTAGTTAAATGGAGTTGCCATGTCCGTTGGATCTAACAAAAGATTGACGGATAATTTATAGTGGCAAAATGTTTTTTCACGTCGCACTCTTCTCAGTTCAAATGAGTCGAGCTCTAATTAACCAGATTTGGAGTTAGCGAGACTTAATTTGGAAAAATTAAAATTGTCAACATTTGGTTAATAAGATGCATAAGTTTGACTATAAAAAAGTATGGATTCTTACAATTAAGGGAGAATTTCACTTTACCCCCACGACTTTGGTGTCAGTGAAAGTCAAACCCCGAACTTTAAAAAATCGCATTTTGCTCCCTTAAACTTGCATTTTATTACACTTTTAACTCCCTATTAACTTTTTTTCATTAATATGTATCAATTCAGTCAAAAAGCTATCTTTCAAGGCAAAGCTTTTGAAGTTATTCTTTAATTTCATTTGAAATAGTTATTTTCTTAATCCTCCATATTAAACAAGCTTTTTAATGTTCCGTCTATTTATATTTTTTCTTAATCCAAGTAATATTTAGATTTTTTTTTTGGTCGAGAAGCGATATTTAGATTGAATGCTGGCATTTTCTATGCTATGTCTATGTATAGATGGAAAAGGCAACAATCTTTACCCTTCCTAATCACAAACGCATAGCGAGTTATTCTTAATTTAATCAAATGGCTAGGCATACCTAAATTAAAATTCAAGCGGGGGAGTGCCGAGCTGAGAGCCCCGAGATCAGATAAACCCTAGGGCGATCCAGTTCTCTCCACGTCACCTTCTTTGATGCCATTCCATAGACAAGAGCACCCTTCCGAGGTAAAAAGCAGTAGACGATTCCCACGTTCTCGAACCGCGTCGTCTTGCGAAACGAAAAAAAAAAAAGAATATTAAATTACGACGACCAAGAGGCTGCTAAAGTCTCTAAAGTCAATATTTCGATAACGTTGATTAATATAGGATCCGTAGATTTTGAACGAAGAAGAAAAAAAAAAAAAAGGTAAAAAAGAGGTTTTTGCCAGTCAATGACAGCTGGCGAACAAGAAAGAGAGCGGGTCGTCTCCTTCCCCGGTCGCGGCAATTGCGGGAGCCACTTTTCCTTTCAGATCCACCCCCCCCCCCCCACTAGCTCTCTCTCTCTCTCTCCTCCACCGTGGTGATCGCTGATTGGGCGGATAGGCATGGGCACCCCCGTCATTTCGCCCACCCCCCCGCGGGGGCATTCCTGACATCTCACGCCCCCCTCCCCCTCGCCGGGCAATTTCCTGCTCACCTCCCCTTTGCGCGTCATCCCCTTCGATCCAATCTCGGCCGTCCATTCCCCCTCTCCCCACGGCCGCCCTCCGATCTCCAATCTCGAAACCCTAGCACCCCCCCCCCCCCATCTCTGTCTGTCTCTCTCTCCTCGGATATATTAATCCGTTTCGAAAAAAATTTCTTGCGTTCAAAAGAGTTCGTTTTATTCCTCTCTCTCGTGCCACGCCAACGAAGACGAAGACCCCAAAGGCAGATTTTGCCGAGTTCCCCGTAGATTGAAGGGCGGTGGTGAGAGCGCGCTTGCCGGAGGCGGCGAAGGATTCCTCTCGCCGGAGCTTCGCGTCGACGTCCCGGGTGGGTGAGGGGGTGGGGGCTTCTTCTGTGACGGGAGAGGTTTTTGCTCTTCTTTCTTTCTTTGCCGGTCGCACCGAATCGGGATCCGTTCCGGGGGTGACGAAGATGGAGAAATCATCGGCTGCGGCGGCGGCGGCGTCTCCTCCCTCCGCGGGCGCGGCGTCGTCCGGGTACGCGGCGTGGGAGGAGGTGGCCGTGTCGAGCGACAGGGGGAGGCGGGAGGTCCATTTCTTCCTGAGGCGGGTGGACGGGGACCGAGATCTGGCGGTGGTGGGGCGGGAGCGGAGCTTGCGGCACATGTCCTACCACTGCGCGCTGCCGGGCCGGTCGGCGGTTGGGCTCGGGGACTGCGCGCTGGTCTCGGGCCTCAAGTCCCGGAGGGAGGTCGTCGACTGGTTGAACTCCGTGATTCAAGGTTCGTGGGGCTTCTTTTCTTCCCTATCATCTTCGTCGCTAAGTTCATTAAGATGAAGGTTTTCGTGGGTACGATTGGCGTTTTCTGGTGTTGGGCTCTTCTTCTGTTCGGTTTCTTAACAATCGAAGCGGATATTTAACACGCCTCTTTTCTGTGCTTCGTTTGATTTTGATACGGTTTTGCCTTTTTGGTACTTTCATCCAAAATATCTCATCCATTTCTTTTTTTGTGGAACGGGGTTCTGGTGTTTTTCCTGGCTTCCTTCTCCGGATTGAGTCGTGAAACAACCTTTTGGATGGTTATGAGTGTGGTTGATAATTCAAGTGTATATTTTCATATGTTTCTTGTTGGAATTTGTGCCCTTTGAGCTTGAGCTGGTTATTTCCTTGCGCGCAAAAGAAATTGATGTCAACGTGTTTCTGTAACCTCCTGTTTTCTCGTGTCTTTCATACGCGTCTGCGAAAGATGGGTCTTTCTTCTTGTTTTTTTTTTTTTGGTTTGGAGACGTATGCCGGCGAAAGATAGATTTGAGGCTGATATGAAATTTAATTATCGTCTCCCTGTCATGATCTGAAAGGAAAACACTGAGCCAAAACCATTTGATTCGCATGGATGAAGATTCTGTGTCTGAAGCCTCTTCTCCTGTTATTTGAAATTTTTGTGAACTGGCAAAATTGCTTTTTTAAAAGCTGAGAATCTTAATTTCTTATTTTTTGGATGCAGCCCCAATGATTCTACTCTTTTAATTGATTGCTTTCATAGCAGTTTTTTCGACGAAGATTATAGTATTTTCACTCGTTTTCTGGTCGCCTTTATGATTATAGAACATGAAAACGTCTATATACTAATGGCAGTTCCTTGCGTTTTCAGTTACCTTGAGATGTTCTTGTTTCGGTTTTGGGAATTGCTTGCCATGCTCTTATGGTCATGGCCGTGTGTTTATTGTGGTTCTGCTGTTCATGTTATTACAAACTGATGATGATCTGGGCTGCAGGAATGCCTTTTCAAATTTTAAAGAGCTGGTTGAGAGCATCGGAATCGAAATGCCCTCAAATAATCTAGGTTATAACCTTTCATGGCCGAACTTGTCATTTTGTTAATGGATTGGGCTTTCCTTAGATGTGTTTGGACCCACTATCGCTATTCGCCTGTCCCCTTTAAGAACACTTTGAGGCCGGTTGATCTCCTGTGTGATGCAACCTTCTGAATCTTTGGATGTTTGGATATCATTGTTGCACTACTTCTGATCGATATATTACTTCCCCTTCGATTCAGTGTCCTTCTATCAAGGAATAGGATGTGTTCTTGATTTCAGTTTCATGAATTGTATTTTTTGCAGGTCGGTCATCTGAACAGCAGCATCATGCGGACAGTGGCTTTTTGGCTAGAGAAGGTGCACAGAAGCTGGATGTTGGTTTCCCTACGGTTTGTACCCATCATCCCTCTTAACATATTTTCTATATTGTACTATTTTTTTCCTAAGAAACCTAGGTTTGGGGTTTGAGACCTTTTGGATCTGTGCTAAATAATTTTTCGTCCTTACAATTGGGCTTGTATTTTATTTGGAACTTATTTTGGTTTCACTCTTTTGAAATTGAGTCTATTGACCTGAGTGTGTCTTATATTTTAGCCTTTTACCATTCTTATGTGATTTGGGAATCAAGGGCCTTAGTATTGCCGAATAGCTTAAATGTTCGATTTTCTTTTGGGTTTTCTGTCGGTTGGTCCTTATAAGTACAGGGTTGTAAGCCTGATGTAGGACTTGCTGAAAAGGTAAGTGACTCGGCCAGATTCAGAGTGCAGTGAATTTATCAAAAATAAAATTGTGATGGAATTCGGTTGTTGATGGGAGATGTCAGTTTTACGATTGCTTTGCGTGGTGTTTGTTAGTAAGTTATGAGCACCTTCCTGTCTATTTTCTCTCTTTTTCTTGCAGCTCTGCTTAATCATTTATTTCTTCCGTGTTTCTTTTCCCCTCCTGTTCAGGATTCTCTAACTGCTAAACTGGGTCATTCTTCCAAGGAGATCCAGTGGTTAGGCTCCCCATGGACATGCAAGAAAAAGCGGAAGCACTTTCCTTCTTTTTTCCGTAGAGGTGTCAAAGTCTCTGTAAGTTCTATTTTGATCTTGGTTTCTTTTTCATATTATGGGGAATTTTCACTAGTTATCCTTTCTCTTTGTTTGGCATGAATGTCTCACTGTGTTCTACTATTTTCTCAATATTTTCAGGTTCATGACTTTGTATATGTTCTTGCCGAAGAGGATAAACGACTGGTTGCTTACTTAGACGATATGTTCGAGGATTCCAAGGGCAACAAGATGGTTGTAGTACAATGGTTTCACAAAATTGATGAGGTTGGGATTGATTTGCCTCGTAATTTCAATGACAGAGAGATTTTCTTTTCTCTTTGTCTTCAAGATCTCAGCATCGAATGTATAGATGGATTGGCTACTGTCCTCAGTCCCCAACATTTCGAGAAATATATGAGTGAGGCAAGCAAATCTTCGTTGGAAGTATTTGTTTGCCACAACCTCTTCGAAGAAGATGATATCAAGCCTTTTGACATTACACAAGTTGAAGGTTACTGGAATCAGGATGTCCTGAAACGTATGAATCCTTTTCCTCTACCGAAACCTCCTCTAAGATCTCAGCCGACTGAATTTCCACGAGATATGAAATGCAATGTTGATGAAGATGGTGGGATCAGACCTAGAAAGAAGCAACGCCTTGTGAAGGAAAGTGATGCCATTGAGATGCATAGTTTGAAAGAAGGGTCTGAGCAAAAAATCATGAAGAAAGACCCTCCACATCATTTGATTGTAGGTTCCGAAGTGGAGGTGCTATCTCAAGATAGTGGCTTGAGGGGATGTTGGTTCAGAGCTTCAATCATTAAGGCATTCAATGCCAAAGTTAAGGTTTGTTATCAGGACATTCTGGATGCAGATGATGAAACAAAGAAGCTTGAGGTATGCTTTCTCATCTCTACATCACTTATTTTGTTATTTCGTTGGGATGTTTTACATTTGGTGTTAAACATGTTTACCGGCTTGACGTTGCAGGAGTGGATTCCAGCATGTAGAGTGGCTGCTCCTGATGAATTTGGTCTCAGAATTATTGGAAGGTCAATGATTCGGCCATGCCAACGGTCTAGAGAAAGTGAAGTTCCAAAGGTTGTTGATGTTGGGACTGTTGTGGATGCTTGGTGGAATGATGGGTGGTGGGAGGGCATTGTGGTCCGTAGTGAATCTGAAGACAGACTCTGTGTCTATTTCCCAGGTTTGAAAGAGATTTTACTTTCTTGAATTTTCTTCCTGTTTTACAGATAATCATATTAGATTTTCGCTTTGCTTTTCCCCCCTCTTGTTCTTAATATTTACTTATTACCTTATGCAGGAGAAAAACGAGAATTAGTCTTTCCACTTGGGGACTTGAGACATTCCCGAGAATGGTCAGAAAATAGATGGATTCATATAAGGAATAGAGCAGATGTCGTCACTGCAATATTACCTCACTTGCGGGTGGATCAACATGTGGAGGAACATCACAGTAATGAAGCCGCTGAAGCTGCAATTAAGGACTACTGTAAGACATCAAGAAACAATGAGGCTGGTCGTGAGAATCCTCTGGATCATCGGTCGTACTCTCAGTATGATGGGGTAGATGAGTCGCTGGCTGTTCCGGATCTTCTGAAGGATGATTCTCTTGCTCATTTGAAATGGAAGGTTTCAAGGAAGAGAAGTCGAAGTGGTGGAAGTTCTTCCCTGAAGGTACAATTTGATAATGACTGTACGAGCTCGCCGGAGATGGGAATCTGTACCCGTGCGAGGTTTTTGATGGATGCCACCATGAAAGTTGATCACGAGAATTGCAAGTTTGCCGGTGATTCACTTTTCAGTTCTTCAGTAGTGCCGACACTGACAAGCTTGGTCATGTCCAGGTGAAAGACCACTTGGACAGTGATCTATCGCCTGGTAGTGAAAATTTAGTTGAGGCGCAGGTATGTTGGAAGGGCGATATTATATTGCCAATGAAGTGGAAAGTACGAGGGAGGAGAAGTCACCGAAGACGGCGCAATAACAGAGCAGGTAAATGATGGCAATACCACCAGCTGCCTCGCTGGGTTTGTCGTTACTGAAGTTTTGCTTTGGACAAAGTCGATGAAAAGAGATTTAATCTCTCGAGCTTTGGTCTCGGGTGCTGCTCTGGGTTTGAATTCCATGCCACAATCTCGCGGGTCACTTAGTAGGTCTAGAGTTTTAAGTCTTGTTCTATGCTGTGCATCATATCGATGCAGCTCCAGGGTCCTCGACTCAGGTTGTTAATAGGAAAAGTAACCGCATCCAGGTCCTTTTTGGTCACATTTTATATTTTACATGTAACCACAGCCTGAGGGTGCCACAGCCCAGGCAACAATTTTGGGTGCAGTAGGGTAACCGTTAGGACTGACTTTTTGAGTCTCCGTTGAGGATGTCTTCTTGGAATCTGTACATGACCTTTCTGTTAATAAGATTTGATGTTGGGGTGATTGAATTGAATTTTGTTTTGTAATGGAATGAAACAGATGGAGATAACATCTGTACGGATTGTACCGTATACCATGTTGTTGTTTGCAAGGGTTTTAGGGGTGAGCGAGGGAGAGGAAGAAGATAAGGAAAGTGTAGAATGATGAGGTGTGGAAAACGATTTCCTTGTTGGGAGGTAAAAAAGGATGATGGCCAAATTCTCATGCGAAAATGGTTTTTTCATTAATTTTTAATTTAAGGGAAAGCTGGAAGAGTTTGAAAATCTTCCACTTCCCTTTTCATTTCATTCATGAAATTTGGATGTTCTGAGAATTTATTAGACGTGCGGGAGTTTGTTCTCTCTTCGAAATGAGCACTTCCATTTTCTGTCTCTCTCAAACAGAGGAATGCTCTGGCGACATTCCTTCCCGAAAATCCTCTCCAGAACTTCCACTGGTTGGAGAGACGATGGGATATAGTTTCTTGACCTGGGCGAGGCTTGTTTCGGCGTGTGATTCGACTTACACCGTTGCACTTCTTTTACGTCGCTCGGAGATGTTAGTGCTGTAGCCTGATATTCTTTTCAAGCTAATAGAAAATATCGCATCTCACTATTCAGATTTGCTTGAAGATTAGGCTGTGCAATGTTTCATGAGATGCGAATGCTTGTGCAATATCTACGCAATGCACGAATGCATAGCCTAGGAGCAAAGCAAGAGATGCCTTATATGCAGGTTGTAGTTTTGGTAGAATGATATATGCTTCTCGCGGGTTCAAGCCACGACCGCCCTCAAAGAAAGAAGCTTGGAATTCACCCCCGAGGACAAGCATTGTTCCCCGAGAACAAGAAACCACCTCCCTCTTTCTCTGCCTGCAAGAATCAGATCCCAACATGAAGGACAGAAAGGAGAACTTCCCAAAAGCAGAACTTTGGAAATATTCTCGCTTGACCCTTCCTATCCTCCCACCTCCCAAGTCCTCCTCTTCCATAAGCCCTTTTAAGTCCCCCTAATCGACTTCATAATCGACTTGCAAATCATGTGTAGAACGAGCGCCAGCAGGTTGATGCCCCCAAAGGCAAGATTGATCCCATACTCTGTGTCCGTAGTGCTGCCGGTTCTTCCTCTGTTTTAAAGTTTTTTCTGACCCCCCTTGCAGGTTTGCTATATGACCATGAGGATGAGCATAGATTGCAATGCTTGTTGCAGGAAACTAAGGAGAATCCTCTTGAGCATGAAAGGTATTGGGGAGGGCTCCTTCCTCCCTCTTTTTTATTTACCCATCTTGCAACTTGATTTTCTAGATCCAATCCATTAGGTTCGTGACGAGGTTTGTATCGTCTTGAAGAAATTGAGACCCACGTGATCGAGAAACCGAACAACCGAGTTTATGTGCATGGGAGGCTCAGGCCGTCCGACGTGGCGATTAAGCTGAGGAGGAAGATGAACCGTCGAGTTGAGATATTGGAGGTTCAAGATCTTGATAGCGGTGACGAACATGTCGAGCAAAATCCTCCGCCGATCGAACATGTTGAGCTAAGATCACTGATGATCGGTCATCAAGTGCACCCATTGAACTTCCATGGTCAATCAATACCCGATTAAGCATACAAAAGGACGATTGATAAAATCGCTACATCGTCATATGTAAATTGAATGCACAGGTGTTGAAAGGGAAATTGCAAAAAATGAATTCCAAGCTTTTCAGCAAGTAGAGATGCGTAGATGTAAATTGGATTAACTTCAATTATGGTTTAAGCATATCATGCGGAAGGTCATGGTCATACACATAATCTATCTCGGAGGAAAACCTTCAATATGAAACACGGGACGTACATCGGAAGAAGACACGATCATGACGATATGGAAAACCGTCCAAAGCTCATCAACATCGAGAGTTGGGCAATCTAATTTCTCATTAACTCAATGAATCAAGACTCAACCACGCGCACCCATCCAAAGACCGATATCGCCGGCGGCTCACCGTTCGCACCCCGCGCTGTACGTGCGCCCCATTAAAGTTATCCGAGTTTAGGCATCGGGCCCATTAAATGGCAACGGCACGGATGAATACGGTAACCTCGGCTTTCCGCAAAGAGAAGTGGCGTCGATACTCGACGACAGTACACAACCATCTCCCCCTTTTTCGAGAAAGGGAGGCGCTTGCTAATTTTGTGCTTTTCTAGGACGGGGTTGACCACGGTGGGTTTTTTCGCTCTTGCGCCTTCTTCTTTTTTTGGTCCCCCCTGTTCGTATCAAAATTTTGTCGCCGGGGTTTGGAATCGGGGCGGGCACATTGCGATTTGGGATATTTTTTTTTTTACCCTCGTCTTATTTTCCGTTCCACAATTTCCTCAATTTAGGACAAAAAAAAAGAAGAAAGAGAGATAAGAAAGAAAAACGGATAAAAAGGGGGCTTGCTAAAGCCTGCGCGTCGTCGTATGCTTCGAGTCTCCAAATAATCGCAATCATTCGCTATCTCTCTCTCTTTCACTCTTCCGATTTCACCACCTCTTAAATTCCTCTCGCAGCCTCGCTCTCGCTCTCGCTCGCAGCCATACCAATCGGCGCGATCCGGCGCGCGCGACGACGGAACCGGAAGCAAAACCCTAGCTCCGACCTCCGACTTCCGATTCCGATTCCCACCGCCGCGCCGCGCCGCGCCGCGCCGCTCCGCCCACCTCCTCCCCTCCCCCGCCTCGCCGCCTATGGCGAGCGGCGCGTCCGATGGCGAGCCCCGCCGCAAGCACCGCCGCTCCTCCTCCCCCCCGGCCGCCGCAGCCACCTCCTCCTCCCCCCGCGGCGGCGGCGATGGCGGCGAAGGGGACGGCACGGACAGGACCTCGAAGAGGCACAAGCACCGCCACGGCCACCGGCACCGCCACGGCCGCGGCCACCGCCACGCCGGCAAGAAGGCCGAGGAGGAAGCTGGTTCCGGGGGCGGCGGCGAGGGCGTCGATTCTCCTTCCCCCCCTCCTCCTCCTCCTCCTCCTGCTGCTTCTGCTGTTGCCTTGCCTCCTCCTCCGCCGCCGGCCTCTTCGAGGCGCGATGACGACGTGGAGGAAGGAGAGATTCTCGAAGATGAGGGTTCTGAGCCTGTTGAGGAGCTTGACTTTAAGTATCTGGTGTGCTCTATGGCCTTCTCCTATTTATTTTTTTCGACAGTTATCTATACTTGTTGTGGTCGCATAGTTTTCTCAAATTGGCGTTTTACAGGGTTTGATTGTAAGCTTTTCCTGGTGCTCGAGAGAGTGATAGAGAGAGAGAGAGAGAGAGAGAGAGAGAGAGAGAGAGAGAGAGATTGCCAGTCTGCCTAGTTCTGATTTTATTGCACTTGTGATATGACGAGTTTTGTTTTTGGTTGATGAGTGCTTCCGTGAGAGAACCTGATAAGCCGAGTGAGTGTGCCGTGCCTGTGTAAGACCCTGCTTGCTCTGCTCCTGCATGACTGAAAAATTGCAAAAAAAAGAGAGGTTTGGTCGAGACGTTTACAGTGAAGACTGATGGCTTGCTGTTGATTTGTAAGAGCTGGTTATATCTTGTTTTGTTCAGCTTGTTTTTGCACGTTGAGCTGTTATGGCATGTATTTTGCAAACTAACATTTGGTTTAATCTCGTGGCTTTAAGGTAAATAATTCTGAATCTGGTGTGCCGTCTGCCGAAAGAAGCGTTGGAGTTGTTTCTGGAAATTCAAAGTCGATGGTTGATGAACTCCAGTCAGCAGTTGCCGATGATAGTAAAGTAAATGGCGGTTTAGGTCACGAGAGTCGTGGACCTAGATTCCACTCTAAAGGTAACGACAAGGCTAAGAACCGATATAGTGCTGACACCACAGAGAGTGGAGACGGTGATGTAAGTGATCCCGCCGATAGACACAAGACATCCCCCTGCTCACCAAGTTCTGATAGATACAGAGATGATGGATCGAGGTTGCGAGATTTTGTGAGGGAAAGATCTCGTTCTCAGAGCAGTTTACCATATGGAGGCTCACCTTTAAAACGAACAAACCATATGGAAAGAGAAAAGGAAAGGGAGTCCTCATATTTTTTCGAGAAAAGCAAGATTGAATATGATTCAGATGATCAAAATATGACTTGGCGCAGCAAGGATAAATTGCATAGCGCTAGAGATATTGCGAAGGGCGAGGAAAGGGAAAGGATCAACTCTGACAGAAGGTATGGTAGCATGGAGGATCAGCATTACAGCAGGGAGAGGAGCATCGAAGATAAAAGCATGGGAAGTTATGTTGACGCAGTAGATAGGAGAAGGGAAGAACGAGAAAAAAGCAAAGATAGGGATGTGGACCGGGTCCATAGAAAGAAAAGTGAACGTGAAAGGAGCAAAGATAGGGATGTTGACAGGGACTATAGAAAGAAAAGTGCACGAGAACGGAGCATTGGCAGGGAGTTGGAGTGGGATAGGGGAAGAGAGAAAGAAAGAGAAATGAGCAGGGAGAGGGACTTGGAGAGGGATAGGAGAGGAGATAGAGATAGAGAAAGAGAAATGAGCAGGGAGAGGGATATGGATAGGGATAGGAGAAGAGAGAGAGAAAGAGAAATGAGCCGGGAGACTGACATTGATAGGGATAGGAGAAAAGAGAGAGAAAGAGAAATGAGCCGGGAGACTGACATTGATAGGGATAGGAGAAGAGAAATAGAAAGAGAAAGGAGCTGGGAGAGGGACATGGATAGGGATAGAAGAAGAGAGAAGAAGAGGGAGAGGAGTATAGAGAGGGATCGAGAGAGAGATAGAAGAAGGGAAAGAGAAAGAGAAAGAGAAAGAGAAAGAGAAAGGAGCTGGGATAGGCCCAGAGATGGTAGGAGAGACAAGGACAGAGAGAGAATCAGGGAGAGGAGTAGGGATAGGAGCTGGAGATCAGAGCGGATGGATGATGGAAGGAGGGAGGAACGTAGGGATGGCCGGAGTGGCAACAAGTACGAAAATGTCGAAGATGGTTATGTTGATAAGCATGGATATTCAAAGCACCCAAGACGAAATGAAGTGGAAGATGACATTGATAGAATAAGTAGAGGGGTTTCAACAAAAATGAGCACTGCAACAGCTAGTACTATGGATGGTGATAAGGAAGTACACAGAAGGTAATTTTTTTTGTCCATGGGGTCAGCTTGGAATTCTCGGTCGTTAGCTCTACTTCTCTTTAGTAATTGATTTTTTTTTCTGGCTGTTATAGCGATGAGGATGAAAAGGATGACCTTGATGGAAAGTTTTCATTGGAGATAGCTGAGCAGGAAGAGGAGGATCTCAATAGAATTAAGGAAGAAAGTAGAAGACGAAGGCAAGCCATTATGGAGAAGTACAAGAATTTGCAGCAGCAGCAGCAGCAGCAACAAGAAGAGCATGTGCAGCCTCAGGCGGAGGATGCGGTGGAAGGTAATTGTTGATGACAAACTGTGCCTGGATGTCCATTTATCAAGTTGTATGCTTCCCATTTGACGAATCCAAGGGAAACAAAAAGTTTGTTCATTTGTTACTGCGAATTTTATTTCTATAGTCATTAGATTTTTTTTATTGGGTTTGTAAACTGCCCTGTGGCACTAAGATTAGCATATGAGGGTTAGCCATAATCTAATCGGAAATCATCTCGCAGTACCTGTTTTACTGCTAAACAGCCAGACTGTTGAGTGCTTCAAAGGAATGCGAAGTTTGGTCATTTGTAGCTTGTTGGGAGGAAACTGTCTGGTGGAACCTGGAAACTGAATGCAGTTGATACTCCTTTTAGTTGACTTGTGCAAAGTCTCATATATTTTCTGATAAAGAGGCAATATAGTGCCGTTGATTATGCATTCTAGTCTTATTGTTTGAATTGTTGTTTTTTATTTTTTTTATCCTTACTGTATTTTTCGATTTACAATTTTCTTGTATTTTGTAGACAAAGCACGTCCAGAAAAATCAACAGCAGAAGTTCATGGAAGTATTGCTGAAGGTGTGGATTCATCTGTTGCCGAACCGTCATTTTCTATTGGAAAATCGCCTCTTCGAAATGGAATTACTGCTACTGATGGGAGCTCTGGTGAAAGAGGTCTAGGAGAGGGTACGCCGAAGGTGTGTCCATCAATTCTCTTATTCTGTTTATACAAATGAGCTTTTTCTACATCCTATTGAGGTTCTTGGTTCTTGTCTACTTGTTATACTGTTCGCTTAGAATACCATATTGAGCTTTGAATTTCCAAGTGCCTAACCTTACCAGACTATGTGACCGTTCTTTCTTTACGTGAGCAGAGTGAGGGATCGGATGACATCTTCTGTGATGATATATTTGGAGATTCACCCGCTGGTGCACGTAAGACGGTAAGTTAAAGTTTATTTTCTACTAATTTACTATGATTGCATCATCTGTGATGAAAAACTGACATAAAACATGTTTTGGGCACATGTGCTTGTTAATGTGCATACTATACCATGTTGACCTTGTCCATTGAGGTAAATATGTTTTTAGTGTGAATATTTGACATTCCCGGTGTCACCTTCTGTGTCAATATTCTGGATGTAGAGTAGATTGATTTCTGGGTTCTACTTTTCAGGACATTTTCCTCCGAGATATCCTTTGCACAAATTTTCATTTGTAATGTTTTTGAGATTTTGATATCTTTTCTTGGTAAGGGTTCATAGTGTTACTAAATAACGCCCTGGTAGATCTCTGTCAATATCTGGACGTAGAGTTGATTGATTTCTGGGTTCCACTTTTTACGACATTTTCCTCTGTGATATCCTTTGCAAAAGTTTTCATTTGTACTGGTTTTTGAGATTTTGATATCTTTTTTTGGTAAGGGTCGATAGTGTTACTATGATAACACCCTGGCAGATCCACTTTGTAGATTTCTATGAGGAGGTCTCGTAGAACTGTTCTTTCGAGATTGAAAGATTTTTAATTTGCTCCTTGTTTCCTTATATCGAACAGAGTTGCTCTTCTAAACTAGCAATCAGTTTAAGTTCACATGCAAAGCTTTGTGTCTGCAAGACAAGGACATGAATTCTTCCCCATATACTTCAGGACTTGATGAGACATGTTTGCTATGGCTTGCCTTTTAGAATGATTTTATTGATGGAACTAACATGCATGGCTTTGTGTGGTGGATGGAAATTAGAATGACTTGATGAGTCATGGAGTTTGGTCTTCCCTTATCAAGAGAGTGGTTGCTATGATATTATATAATGCTAAATTTGGTAGAGTGAGGGTTAGTAATAAAGAGTAGAATATACTAATGGTGTTGATATTAAGGCAAGAGAGTGGTTCAATTCATTAGACATGTAGAGTTCCTAATGGTACATGTCAAAGGAGATCAACTTAATTCCAGAAGTCTGTTGTGCATTGTACCACAGTAGGCGCTGATGAACACATCCCTCTCACCCCTACCATACCCTTCTGCAAGTTTTTGGAACGCTTCAAGCTCCACTTGAGCATTTAGGCCATTCTCTCTGTTTTCTGCACTTCTCTTTCTTTTCGTACTTTTTTTTTGGAAAGAGGAGTGGTGGGGGGGGGTGGGGCTGAGGGGGGAGGGTTGGAGGGATGGAGGGAAAGAGGTGAGTAGTGAGGGTGGGGGCTTTGATGTTGCAAACGGGCACAATGTGTAAAACAAGGCTGATTTGAATAAAGGCTTGACTTCTGTGTGTGAATAATCATGAACCTACCTAATATTCCTATTTTCATGAGTATTTTCCTTTACCGGTAAGCTTTTTTTTAGTGGGAAATAAAGATATAGGATCACTCACATAACTACCCTCCAAAAAAAGAGCAGGTCTTTCCCTGCCTTTTTTTCCCTAATTAAAAGTGGATGTGATTCCCCATCCATTTCAAGTTGATGGGTGATTCTTACAAATTGTATCCAAACTACAGTAGTATTGGGTTATTCTCAATTTCCTCGAGCATAATTTTGAAATTTTTATGTTTTCCTTATCTTTAAGCTGGTTTTATTTGATTAAAGTTGGACCTTGACATGGTGTTGCTTCACATGTAGCTAGAACATTGATTGCTTTTAGTGCTAACGTGTAATGAATTTTACGGTCATTCTTAGGCCTTGTACTTTCTGTGTTTTGCAGGGTAAAGGAGGTGGTTTACCTGTCGAAAGGAGCGGTCTCCATGACAATTGGGATGATGCAGAGGGATACTATAGTAAGTCATGTAGCAATTCATTCATCTTGATTTTCTTTCAAGTTTCCATTATACCCATTAAAGTCTTCATGAGAGTGCTTTAGACTATGCTCATTTATCAGCTTAATCAAAGACTTTGTCTTGTGTTGTAAAATGAATGGCGTCTCTGAGACCAAATATTTGCTTGGTGATAAGGACACAACACTAATCATGACTTGTCCTGGTTCAGTTTCTGTCTCCTCGCTTAATTACCTGTAAGCACCAAGAAAGAGAGGCTGCATGTCAACTGTCGATTTTTGAGTACGTCTTGGTTGTTTATGGCAGTTTTTATAATCTTGTTTTTTGGAATGTGACTTGTTTTACTGAGTTTTTATGAAGCGAACATGTTATGTTTCAAGTAACTATTCATCCCTTCATGACTATGGTTGGTCGACTAGCTCCTGTCAATTTATATTACTTGCATTCTATAAACTGGAAATAGTTGAGACATTATCAGTAGAATGTTCTGAATGGTTTATGATCATGTTTTGAACAGTGTGTAGTAGATGTTCTCCACGTTATTAGCTGAATCAAGAGAACTTCGAGGTTATGTAAATGGGATGAATATTTCTGAAAAATATATTAAGCAACTTGTAGCTAATTTAGATGTTACTACTTCTCTTTGGAGTGCTGATTACTTAGCTGAAAAATTCTTTCTGATTTACTTTTAATTTGACTGATGCAGGCTATCGATTTGGTGAGATACTTGATGGCCGATATGAAGTTATTGCTGCACATGGGAAGGGAGTTTTTTCGACTGTAGTTCGTGCGAAAGATTTGAAGGCTGGCATTGGTGAACCAGAAGAAGTGGCAATAAAAATACTGCGAAATAAGGAGGCCATGTAAGTGGCCAAGCTACTTTATTGGGGATGGTGTGAATTAATTTGCAGTTTCTCTCATTGAATATATATCAAATTCCTGGCAAATTCCTGGCCTTAGTTGTGTCTCTGTGTCTTATATGTGTCTAGGTACAAGGCTGGTGTTGAGGAGCTTGGCATATTGAAAAAATTAGTAGGTGCAGATCCTGAAGACAAGCGGCACTGCGTTCGTTTACTTTCCAGTTTTAAATACCGCAATCATCTTTGCCTGGTTTTTGAATCTCTTAATATGAATCTACGTGAAGTTTTAAAGAAGTTTGGTCGCAATATTGGTCTTAAATTAACTGCTGTTAGGGCTTATGCGAAGCAACTCTTTATTGCTCTGAAGCATCTCCGAAACTGTGGTGTCCTTCATTGTGATATAAAGCCTGATAACGTGCTGGTAGGTTCTGGTATCTTCTTTTTGCTGTTGTATTCAAGTATTATTGTTTCTTATTTTCGTTTTAACTTATTACATTTTACTTCAGGTTAACGAGGCAAAAAATGTGTTGAAGCTTTGTGATTTTGGAAATGCCATGTATGCTGGAAAGAATGAAATCACACCATATCTCGTGAGTCGCTTTTATCGTTCCCCAGAAATCAGTAAGTCTTCTTCGATAAAGTGATTTCATCTTGACATGGTTTTATTATTAGTTTTACCGAATTTTCCTATTTCACTTCATTATAAAACATATTTCATTCAGACTTGGCTGAATTCCTGTTACAGTTCTTGGCTTGCCTTACGATCATCCATTGGATATGTGGTCTGTGGGTTGCTGTTTATATGAGCTTTACGCTGGGAAAGTTCTTTTTCCTGGCGCTACCAACAATGACATGCTTCGTCTACACATGGAATTGAAAGGCCCTCTTCCAAAGAAACTGCTTCGAAAGGTATAACGAGAACATAATCACTTGTTTGTACATAATCAATTCTTATCCCATTTTTATTTAATCTGCTGCAATATGTAGGATATCTCTCTCTCTCTCTCTCTCTCTCTCTCTCTAGGCGCACGTGTGTATATGTACAGACCTTAACATATACATACAGCATATGCATGGCCACCTACATAACAATGTATATGGACATATTAGTGCTTGCACAATGGATGTATTTTCTACTTATATAGTAGTTATTGGAAGTTGATTTTTCATGGAACGATAACATATATTACCAGCATTTTCATCTGGTTTATGTGCATCTGTGGGTAGTGTTGGCTTGTTGTGTTTCTGTTCTTACTGATTTTCATTTGCAGGCAGCATTTGCAGACCAGCATTTTGATGCAGACCTGAATTTTCTTGCTATAGAAGAGGATTCTGTCACCAAAAAGGTCTATATTTTGTTTCAATGTGGCTTTGATGTGCAACAACGTGGTGCTTTTAAAGTTTAATAGCTGATATATTGCATTTCCTGTTGATTGAGTCTTCAACATCGTCTGTGCAGAGCATAAGGAGAATGATTCTTAACATCAAGCCTAAGGATATTGGGTCGATTATCAAGGGTTCTCCTGGTGAGGATCCAAAGATGTTAGCTAACTTTAAGGATCTTCTAGACAAAATTTTTGTATTGGATCCGGACAAGAGGATGACCGTACAACAAGCTTTGAATCATCCTTTCATCACTGGCAAGTGAAACATGTTGCTGATTTTTGACTCCAGAATGCTGTTGCATTTGATAATTGTCTTTGGAAGATAATTCTTATTCAGAATATCTAATCATTTCGGCATTATCTTTGCTTAATTACCTGTGCTGGAAGAAGAGCTTCAAGAGGGTTTATGCCATTATTGAAGGGGGATGACATTTGTTCAAGAATACACTTTACTGGCGGTTCTTTCAGTGGAATGTACTGTTCCTATTGTAAGATACTTGCTGAAGGCGTTCTTTTACCAGTTATCAAGTTCATTATATTTGTTTTCATGTGTAATTTCAATTTATGTTAGCGTTCAATCTGATGGAGATCAATAACAGGAATATAATTGGGTTGTGGGTATAGTTCTTGAGAAATGGTAGTGGAGGTCCTACGTGGACTGCATTTTTCTCATCTTTGACTTTGCCAGATGTCTGGCTTTTGAACTCCAGGCTGGCTACCCATGTCATGCTAGTGTGGCAGTTCTTTACTCTTAGTATTCATCATGTAAATTTCCTGGATTATCTCGAGTCTAATAGAATTTTTGGTTCAGGATCTCTCCCACTGCTTTGAGGCAACCTTCCAGTGTTTAATTGCTTTACAAAGGCACCCTGGAGAAGGTACCTTGGTTTGTTGATTGGGAGCTTGTTGTGAAACCTTGAAAGTACTAAATAGTGCTCTGTGCTATATGTTGTACCCATTTCGCCTAAAATGAGCCATCATGATTGTGAGTCACATGAGCTGTATGGGCTTGATAAACATCGTTGTATAGGGGAAATCGAAAAGTTTTTCTGTTTGATGCTGTATTGTGATCCCTTGTATAAGCGCGCTAATTGTTAGGGGGTCATTGAATGTGGATGTGACAATTCCCTCTTAGTGTTTGTAATTTGCATCGAACTGATGTTTTTGTCATCTATTTCTCTAATTAATAAGTGAGGAGATTTTGTCAGCCATTCTTTTTTGTGTGATTTTCCCTTGTTTTTTGTATCATATATGTGCATAGTCTAATCAAGTTATGTTACATCTGATCCATGGACTAATGACTCTGGAGGCTATTACGCTGGAGACTTATTGCAGCAACCTTCAAAGTGGAAGGATGCGTCCGTGAGTAGTAATGTCTAAAATTTGGGCTGTTATTCTAGTTTTAGTGTAGCTTTGAGGCAATGTGAAGATTAGATGGCCCCTGATGTGATCTTTTTGTCTTTTTAGGGCACAGGTTCCATGCTTCTGCGAGTCTCGTAAGTATCTTCATATCCTATAGGTAATCGTTATCCATGCAAGTTAAGATTTTTTTCTTTCTTTTTCCCTCACTAGTATTAGATTCTTCCGTCAGTCTATAATTTAGTCTTTTCAATGCTCTATGTTTCACATAAGTTAGCAATTAGTAAGGTGTCATTGCTGGCCTTCATATGGGAAATAAGCATGTAGGGTTGATTTTGTAGTCCCTGCTAGCTGAGTTGTGAGCCCAGAATTATGGGGGCATAAGCAACTCAATTGGGTAAACAGGTATTAAAAGTTTAGAGAAATATACATCCATTATATTGGGAATTGAAGGAAGAGTAATGGACTTTTACTGGACATTTTATGGCAATAGCAGTTTTACTTTGCGTGTATGAATAACTGAACATTTTATTACCTGGCGAAGGGCTATATATAGTCTACTTTGAACAGTGCAACATTTCTTATTACTGTACTGGACTGCGAATGTGCATGGATCTCTACATGTTGTCGCCTTCATTACTTTTTGGATTAACATCCCTCTCCTTTTGAACTTCAAAGGATCGTTCTGTACTGGACTTCCTTTTTGGTAGTGGGACATGGTTTAATACTTGAGGCTCTTTATGAGCACTCAAGGATTCATATATGTCATGTAAGCCAAGTGTTATGTGGGTCTTACGCTGGGTGTTTGGAAAAATGTAATGGACAATGGATAATGATTTGTCTTTGTGTACTGTTCTCACTAAGATCCTAGAGGTCCTGGTTTTGAATCATACCTTCCAGACCCCTTCACAAAAAGAGAGAATAGAGAGAGTTGGTGATATGAATCTGGGTAATTTTGCAGATATGATACTGGCAATTGACAGTATTATTGTAAAGTTTGATTGAATGGGGTTCGTTAATGCAATAGAAGGTTTGAGAAGATGTCCTATCCTGAATGCAATGCAATTCAAGTTTCTCTGCAGTAGCGGACTTCACAGACGAGTGTTTCACAGTTTAGAGACAGTTAAATTGTTGCCTCTGTATGAAGTAAAAATTCCCTGCCGACAAGCTCACAAGAAGAAGATAGCAACCTATTGAAACATGACTTTCGACAGAGTCTGGTGGCGATTTGTATGATGCTTATTTATCATCCATGATCACTTGACATTATAAATTGAATACATCACTATTAACTTGCTTCCATTTCACTCCATCCTCTCACAACTGTAGCTCTGCATTCTCCCCCACCCCCTTGCCAATGTCGTTCTGGAGAGGTACACACACTAAATAAGGAAGATTTATAGACATCAACAGCAGTCTCTTAGTAGTGCTCCTTCTTCGTTAGTCTGCCGAACGTTTTCTATGAGAAGCCCCAGAAGGTCATTGATTATTATTGCCAGGGTGGTTCTGAAGATATTTAGGCTGAGAATTCCAAGTTGTCCACCCAAAGAGAAAGGGGGGACGTTGTCTTTACCTTCCACTGCTTCTAATATGTTTTATAGCAACATAAGGACAATTAGGGGGATAATGACAAGTTTAATATGGAGATGCGTTTCTAGCTTTATGACATTTACGTCAATGGTAATGAGTTCTCTCCTCTTTCCCCTCTTTCTCTCCGTCTGTGCGCTTGTTTGCATGTGGGCATGCGAAGAAGATACACTGCAGCGACTAATGTGACCTAGTGTCTTCTTACATCTGTCTGATCTGTCCGCAAGATGATATGTACAGATTAGTGAAGCTCAACAAATTGGAACGAAGCCCTATCAAGGCAACTATTGACCATAGATCGCTTGGTCCATGGAAGAAAACTGGTGCTTAGAACGTCTGTACTAATGTGCTCATTAGGTGAAGCTTCTCCCAATGTTTTGCTTGGATCGAGATATGCTACTTATTCGGAATAATGTATTGTTGATCGACCAGTACGAGTGATCTGATACCTGCAATTTGAATGTGTATAATGTCCATATAAATGGTGGATAAATGGTAGAATCTTGAATCACAGTGCCAAAGATGGTTGAATATAGACAAAAAGCGCAAATTCTAAACTTTCTGTGCGTAACGTAGCTGAGTCTAGACCTTCAATTGGCGCAATCAATTGCTGCGACTTTCCTAAAAATTGCGCAAGTCCTCCCGGAAAATGGCTATTGCTGCTATGCAGCTTAAAGAGTCCTGAAGTTTGCAATATACATTGTTCCATACAGTTTTGTAGGTAATCAGACTCTATCTGGTCAGGCATTTCGGCTTTTCATTTAGCCCTTTCTGGGACTATCCAAATCTTCCGTCTTCAGATTCTGTGATAAAAAAGCGCACGAGTTCGCTGTTGCCGTTTACATGACATGCTTGACATGGGGGATGTATTTGGCCTTCATTATTGCATAATATTTGCTGAAAAGAAAATCGTAATAATTTGGAGTTGACTGCGTGCAATATCTTGTGGTTTCATCTGTGCCCTTTTCTTGCTTTTTCTAACTGTTGTTTTAGTGGGTCCAGTTTTTAATTTGAGTGCCCGATGTTCTAATGAAGCAATTCACACTTTACAATTTGTTTTCCCGGTTGATGGTTATAATGGCGGTGATCTATGCTGGTTGTCATCTTGAATGTGCTGAAAGTGGTGCTTTATTGTATACTACTATGCGATTAGTAATGTCGCACAAGAAAAGCCATCTGTGAAGACCCGTGTGTTCAGTTATATAAGAAAAGCAAATTTGAGCCGGAGTCGAGTGTAATTGTGTTGGCCGGAGTCGAGTGTATGTGTCTGTTAGTATTTTTCTCCGTGGCACGCCTAAGGTACTCCTTTATTTGTTTGTTGAACTATGCTTGCTTCTGGCTCTGGGCATGGTTTGCTTTTTCTCTTTTTCCCCATTCAATGTATAGATTTTTCTAAATTCTGCCGCCTTCTGGATGATTGGAAGCAGCCTCGTATCTTTTACTTCCATGAACGTCAATCTCAAGTTTTCATCCCTCGTGGAAATATGACTTGGAAAGTTTGGTTGACAATTGCCTCTAGTCATTTGAACTATATGACGTTAAATAATATTCTCCCATTGTTCTTCTGGAATAGGCATATGTTCAACCCAATATACTTTATCAATTATTCGAGCAGAGATGGTTGTGACCAGGTGATTAAATGTTCGGGCAAGTTGCTCTTCGATAATTGGACGATTCGTGGTCCCATTTGTTGACTAATTGGGTGGTTGGTTGGTTGTGACATAACCTGTCTGTGTTCTCTAGATTTCTTCTAGAAGTCAGTTTTGGTAACCCCCAAGAAACTCCATGGCAACCCCACAGTAATTGTTATAATCGGCGGCGAGCCTCACGCTTGCGGTGGAGTCCATGGCTAACAATTCTTCGATTGGTTAACCGGGAAAAAGAGAGGTGATGCCAAAATCTTTCTTGCGTCATTCCGCGTATAGACACGGAAGGCTGTCTAGTTGAAGGCTTGTAATTCCGGCAAAAGGGAATGTCGAATGTTTGTATCTGCGATTGCTTATCATAAGCTGCCGTTGGGAATTAGAAGGTACGTAGGTAATTTGTCCATGGGACGCGAACAACGGTGAATTTATGATGTAGTGGGAAAGATTTGGGGCAAAGGGCTGTCGCTCAACCGTTGCTCTTAGTGTAGAATGAATCAGTTATACGAATTGAACGATTTCCTCCAACAAGATTTGAGATCCGGATCGGCCAACCGGCCACACTTCCGACCAAAATTTTAAAAAAAAAAAAAAACCAGCCACACTTGGGTGGCCTGTTGTGGCATGGGCTACTATACTGGTTTGGTGCCGCTCTATGTGCCGGTGAGAGGAAACATAGTCCCTAGTTGTGGTAGCTAATCTATGTCTATCGTTGCAGTTGATCGAATGGTAATATTGTATCAAGCATTTGTTACAAGTAGTTGGGATTTAAGCAAGTCAAATAGTGCACTGAAGTAAATTACAATACGATAGATTTTGGTCTGGTTTATCGAGAGTTGAAGGGGCCGTCGTGGTTGTGGAAGTTGTATATTTCGTATTCCATTCATTTCAATCGACCATAGGAACAATTAGTAGAGCTCGTCCACTGATGCCTCAGAAACAGGCTGTCGTGATCTTTTAAAAACTCCGTCGACCAAAATCGTGTATCAAGTTTCTACGAATTAAGGAGATGTCAACATTGGCTCGACAAATCACCCGCTGCTGTGTCGGACGTGAATCTGATTCACGGCTCTGCGTTTTCGAATAACGCGTGCCGCCGAGAACGTCTTACTATCGATCGAGCTTTTGAAATCGTCTCCTTCGTTTCTTGCTCTGCTTTTTGCTTTTGTTTTTTTTCGCAAATGTCTCTTTCGTTCCCTTTATTTTTTTTTTCGTTTATTGCAAAACCCCATTGAGCGGCATCGCAAAGTACATCATGTTCGATGCTTAAGGGGTGGGAAGAAGCTTTGGTTTTTATCGAATGGCCGGGTTCAGACTTTCACAGCTACTTTCTTTCCCAATCACCAAGTCTCTTTCGTGTCAACTTAGGGCCCGTTTGGTAACGTGCCAAATAGTGAAAATTTCTATTCTTTTGTTCCCAGAAATAATTTGAGAACAGAAATGCGTTTGGTAAATTTTTTGTTCCGGGCACATTTTTGCAAAAATTTGTGCCGAGAAAGCAGTTTTGGAAGAGAAACAAGAAGTAAAAAAAAGTTGCTTCTCGTTTCTAAGACAATTTTAAGAATCAGTTTTTTTTCTTCTTTTTTTTTCTTTTCTTATTTTTGTGTTGTTCTTCCCTGGGCTGGGCCGGCGGCCGGCGACCGGCCACAGCCAAGGCCGGCGAGGGCATCACGGCCCTCGCCGGCCGCCGGCGGAGGCGAGGGTCGCCTCTCTATCGGGCGAGGCCGAGCCTCGCCGTCGCGACCCACGGCGAAGCCTCGGCCTCGCCGGATCCGGGCGAGGCCGAGCCTCGCCGTCTCGGGCGAGGCCGCCTCGCCCGGGCGGCGAGGGTCCGGCCCTCGCCCTCGCCGGCGAGGGCGACCCTCGCCTCCCCGCGGCGGCCGGCGAGGGTCGTGACGCCCTCGCGGCCACAGGGTGTGGCCGGTCGCAAGCAACCGGCCATGGCCAAAGAAGAAAATGGGTAGAAAAAAAAAATAAACAATTCAAAATATTATTAAAATATTATTTGAGAACAGAAATTTTGTGTAGTTACCAAACTCATTTCTGTTCTTTTTTACTCTAGGAATAGAAATTTTGGACAGTTATCAAACGCCTTCAAATACTCAGAAATTATTTTCGGGCACAGAATAGAAAAAAATCATTTCTGTTTAGAAATAGTTCTCGAGCACAGAATGGTATTCATGCGCACCCTTAGGAGAGCGAAGAAGAAGTCTCTATCGCATCCAGACCCCTCCATTCGCACGCTTCGCAAAAAACAAAAGAAACGAGAAGACGAGGAACGTATCATGCCCCCAAGAAAGACTCCGTAACAGGCTAACAGCAGACGTAAGCACGGACTGAGACCGGTGCCCTCGGCCAGCGACCTTCCTCCCCTCCATCGTCATCGCGTAAAGGAGAAAACCACCATCATCTCCGTTGGCTCTTCTCCCTCTCTTCTCGCGGGAAACTGAGCTCTCGAGACTTTCACGTCGTAGACCCGTCGTCATGGGCAAGAAGCTCGACCGCCTGCTGGGAAGATCCTTCAAGCCCTCCAAGTTCAAGCCCCTCGCCGCTCTCGCCGTCTCTCGCCTCGCGGTCCTCAGGAACCGCAGCCAGACCCGGCTCGCGCAGGCTCGGTCCGACGTCGCTCAGCTTCTCGAGCTCCCGAACCACGACCGAGCTCTGCTTCGAGTGAGTCAAACCTCTATCCGATGAGATGAATTTCCTTGTTTTTGAAGTCTGCGAGTTGGGTTGACTGGCAATAGCTTGTTTGTTGTCCAGGTCGAGCAGGTGATGAGGGAGCAGAGCACGTTGGATGCTTATGCCATGATCGAGGGCTACTGCCATCTGTTGATCGAGAGGGTCAACCTTATTGAGCAGGACAAGTACTGCGTTTCTCTTTGGTCTTATGTATCCCATTTCCGTATCCAAAGATCAGCCATCGAACTTCTTTTTTTCACCTTTCTTTTTTGGTTAATGGTGTTTTGGCCTGTTTTTGTGCGTGCGCGCAGAATTTGTCCGGAGGAGCTGAAGGAGGCAGCCTCGAGCTTGCTATTCGCGGCGTCGAGGTGCGGAGAGTTCCCAGAGCTCCACGAGCTGCGCGGGCTCCTCACCTCTCGTTATGGCAAGGGGTTCGCTGCTTCGGCTATTGAATTGAGGAACAACTGCGCAGTGAATCCTCTGGTTTGTATGTTCTGCTATGTTTTGCTGTCATTATTTACAGGATTAATTATGGTTCAGACTTGTTCATGTACGAGAAATTTTCATTTGCTTTTGTACGATTCTGTTCCGTCTGAACAAATAAATTGTAATCGCGGAACTTGTCATAAATTGAGACATAGAAAGACAATACAGAAGCTGAAAAGTAGGAGAAATACCCGGTAATCACAGAAGTAGAATATAAGTACAGAGTGTATTGGTAATATCGCTGACGAATTATAAACTAGAATCCACGGATCACAAGGCCACTACATCTGACAATATTGTGAGTGAGTTGGCGATCGGTTAATCGTGATGGTTGATCTATATGTCATGTTGGTGATGGCTGTTGAAGCAATAGAAAATGCGGCTTGTCTGGTTTGATGTTAGTAGTGGATGAGGGCAGGCAATAGGCTTGGTTTGCCGAACGGGCTTCCGCCAAACTGGCATTGAGTAGTAACATAAAACGGAAGAAACTTTCCTGATCAATGCTTTTGTGCATCCTAATTTAGTACGATTTGCCTGTGTGAAATCTCGAATATTTTGCTTGGTTGAATGTTCTCTGTTCGTCAATCTTATCTCAGTGTGGTTTAACCAATCACTTTGTCAGCCTTTAGTCATTGACAAGTAAACTTGGACTTGTGTAGATGGTAGAGAAGCTGTCAACCCGGCAGCCTAGCTTAGAGAGCAGAACAAAGGTGCTCAAAGAGATTGCTGCAACCAACGGCATAGCTCTGCATGTCGATGAACCCATGGACCCCTTAGAGGTATGCTTGTTCTATGTTGAGCAGAGAGAACACGATATTACTTTTCCCAAATCCTTCAATCAGCGGTGTTTTTTCATAAAATTGATGCAGGAAAACACTGGTGTAAAGATTATGCCGGACCAGCCTATCAGTTCTGTAGATTCTAAACTTGAGGTTGACAACAATATGGAAAGTACATCTAAAACAAAAGTGGTGAATGACTTCTCTGACTCGTTCGAGGTGCAGAGTGAGTTCAAGGATGTCGCTGAAGCAGCCCAAGCGGCTTTCGTGTCAGCTGCTTATGCGGCAGCAGCTGCAAGAGCTGCGGTGGAACTGTCTCGATCCGAATCTCATGGTCTCGATGATCAAAACAGTCCTAGTCCTAGTGCTCGAAGGTTAGAGGCGAGGCAGAAATTTGATCACACTGAAAAGCAACTCCAAATTGAACATGGAGCTCGAGGCTCTGTCAGGAGCAGAAATGCTGCGGAAACCAGACTTTCGATGTCTTCCTCCACCTCAGATTCAGGAGAATTGATTACAACTCCTCGGGTTGGAGCAGGCTGGCCTAATCACTCACAGGGGGAGATATATTTCGACGAAAGCGACAACGAGAAGGAGCGTGATCGAAGTGGATCCCCATCTGATTTCTCCTCTCCTATGCGAATTCCGTCAAATTTTCGAGCTGGCTTGAGGGCGGAATCAGGTGTAGGAGGCCATGTAGCACACCCAGCTGAAGCGACGGGCATGCGCGTCGGACAGATCCTGGACCTAGAGAGGAGACCGATGTCTGTGAGGACTAGACATGTGCGTGGTTACTGAGCAGTTTCTTATGGAGCAACAGATGTGCAGTCCAACCATATATTGTTGTTCTTATCATGTAATTACTATGTGATTTGGTTTCTGATCGAGGGGTTGTCAATAATTTTTCCAGGCAGAGAGAAGTCACGAATAGGTGAGGGTTTTGATTCAGACTTTTCGCCATCTGATGGCAAGAATGGGATTGGTTTGTACTGTGCCATGTTCATATTGTCAATGTATTATTCTCAGTTGCACTCTCTGTCTAAAGGTTTCAAGATCATGGATCGGTGTCACCCTTTTAAGGATGTGTTTCTTTGACACTTTTTGAGTGCTGAATATATCAATTGAGACAGATTTAAGTCAGTTTTCTCCATACAGAATGGATCAAAGAAGATGATCCCTCCATAAACGTCAACAACATTATTTTCTACTTGTGCTCGTGATCTAATGATGTTAACCATAATTTTTTTTTTTCGTTTAATTAAGTTTCCATGCGCCAAGATTCGATAATCCATTCATATTAAAACTAAATCATTCGAAATCCATCACATAAATATAAGGAACTAATCCAATCAACTTGACTTGAACGAGTAAAACTCATAAGATACGTCATATTCTTTCGGACTATAAAAATCGGACCATTAGCATTTCCCCTCTTTAATCAATGTATAAAATTCATAATCAAAATCGATATACATCATCACATGTATGTCGGATGACAATGACAAGTATCGAAGCATTCCGAGTTATACACGTTCGCGGGCTCGTGAGGAAAGGAAGAGCCGAGCGAAAATGTGCGTTTGAGAGTAGGCGGGATCGGGCGATCTGCCAAACGAAACGCGTGACGCCGGACAAAGCCCGTCTCTGACCGCCGGCCGATCAGTCGTTGCGGACACCTGAGCTCAGCTCCGCCGCGTAATTCAATACGATTCCGTCCGTAAACTGCAGATAGGCGAAAAAGAAATTGATTTCCATAGCTCTGGGTGCAGAGGCCGATCCTCCACCGCTGAAAGCCCATCAAGGCCCATATCGGAGACCATTTCGCGGCCCATTGTGCATGGAAGTTTGGGCCTTGGCCATCGCCCGCGGCCCATAATCAGGCGCGTAGAGACGAGGTGTCTATATAAAGGCGGGCACGACCGCGCACTGTCTCCGTCGCAGAACGGGGGTGCCTGTGGAAAATCATTCCTGGTTTTGCTCGCTGCATTTGGGGGAGACAGATCTGTGAGTCCCTCGTCTCCCATTCCTCCTTCTCTTCTCCTTCTTCTTCTTCTTCTTCTTCGTGTTCTTGTTGATTTGACTGTGCTGGGGTTTCCCGTTGACTGATTCGGGATTTGGGTCGAGACCAATTTCTTAGTTTTTCATGGGCGACGTGGTGGCGGGGGTGTGTGTCTCTCGGATGATGTGGTTTTTTGGTCGGAAGGATGATTTAGGGGGAATTCGATGAAGGGGGGAGGAGTTGGAAAGAATTAAGATTTGGGTATTGCCCGGTTTACCAGCGATCTGGGATCTGGGTTTTGATCTGTATTTTTTGGGGTGTTATCTGTCGATTCATTGGGCGCATTTGTTTTCCGGAAGATCTTCTTTTGTATGAATGACTCACTCGTATGTAGTCTCTATGTTCGAATAGTCGAAAGATGCGTTACTAGTTTATGAAGCTTAAAGCAGTTTTTGCTCTATGCGACCATCCTCGAACTCTAGGTGACTAAGCGTTCAGCCTATAGCATTTCATGTGTTGGCTTCTTTGTTGGGGGCTCTGTGGATTTTTAGGGAGGTATTTTGGTTTAACTTTCTCAGTTTTTCTGGAAACACCCCATATTAGTCATTGAATTCCAGTTTTGAGTTTGTTAAAATTTATCATGGGACATATAAACTCCTTTCATTATCTGGTTACTGTAGCTCTTGATGGGGAATGTTTTTATGTGCTGCTGTTGCTCTTTAGGGAGTTATCGCTGTAATTGTCCTAGCTCCACAGCTTTCAATCATGCAAGTTAGATGCTTATGCCCATTGCTTCTGGCCTGTTGCAGATAACTACTGGAGCTGCTACTTACTGCTGAGTTACCATGTCTATGGTTGATGAGCCTCTTTATCCAATAGCTGTTCTCATAGATGAGCTCAAGAATGATGACATCCAGTTACGATTGAATTCTATTCGGAGACTATCGACAATTGCCCGTGCTCTTGGAGAAGATAGGACTCGAAAGGAATTAATTCCATTTTTAAGCGAGAACAATGACGACGACGACGAGGTGCTTCTTGCAATGGCGGAAGAACTGGGTGTATTTATTCCTTATGTTGGTGGAGTTGAGCATGCCAATGTCCTGCTTCCACCGTTGGAGACCCTCTGCACTGTCGAGGAAACTTGTGTCAGAGACAAAGCTGTGGAGTCCTTATGTAGAATTGGATCTCAAATGAGGGAGAGTGATTTGGTCGACCATTTCATTCCTTTGGTTAAGGTGAGGAGACCTTGGCAAACTGCTCCTAGACTACCTGTGAATCATCTTAGATGTCATTGATGCTCTTGCTGCTCCTTATGCCCATTTATCCTTAATTAACCTTTATTCCCCAAATTTAATATCTTAGATCTGGTCAGATTTGACCAGCTCATCAAGTTTTAGAAGAACCTTGGAAGGTTGTCTTTATCCTTGTAAATTTAACTAGCTTTCATGGTACATGGACTAGAGAAAGAAAGGAAAATGACGATGTGGGGTAACTTGGGAAACACATACTAAGTTAATTTGTCTCAAATGCGTGAAAAAAAAGTGCATGATAATGTCAATTCATGTTTTTTTTCCTTTTCTGATAATATTGTACTTTCAGAGGTTGGCAGCCGGTGAGTGGTTTACTGCTCGAGTTTCTGCATGTGGGCTGTTTCATATTGTGTATCCTAGTGCCCCAGACATGTTGAAGACAGAGTTGCGTTCAATATACAATCAGCTATGCCAAGATGACATGCCCATGGTTAGGAGGTCTGCTGCATCAAATCTGGGGAAATTTGCTGCGACTGTTGAATATGCTCATCTGAAGACTGATATTATATCAATATTCGAGGACCTCACACAGGATGGTATTATAAGTTTTCATCCATATTGAGTGGTTACACTTCTTTTTCTCTCATCTGATTTGAGCGTGTCTTACTTTTAAGGACTCTAACAATGTCACTGTGTTGAATTTGGAAATTAACTAGCTGATGTCATCAGGACTTTCTGGTTATAATGTATTCCCTAGTTGATAAAAATTATTCCAGGCACTATACAGATCTTTTTTTTTTAACATGTTGACATGTAGTAGTAGTATAGAATTACCATTTTGCCTCTACAAAGAATGTAACTTGCCTTTTCATTGTTATGTCATGAAGTTTATCTTCATTGCTAATTTCTCTCCATGTTTTGTATCTCAGATCAGGATTCTGTTCGATTATTGGCTGTTGAGGGTTGTGCTGCTCTTGGGAAATTGTTGGAGGCCCAAGATTGTGTGCAACACATACTCCCCGTTATAGTTAACTTCTCTCAGGCACGTTGCTAATCTACTGCTTCTGATAACTTTTCTTATTTTGATCAAGGCTTGAACTTTTGATACATTTTATGAGCTTGCAACAGTGTTGATTCGCAATTGGCATGTTTTTGTTGCTACATGCTGACAGGCATGTGATTTCAGAGACTCGTATAGTGATTTATTCCTATCATGGTTGAAACTGTTCACTGGTGTTTTCTCACCCCAAAAAAGGGCTTAAGCTGAAAGGCAAGGCTTTGTAACTTATGTAATGGATTGAAGCTGAAAGGCAGTGTTCTGTGACTTATTGAAATGTGTGTGTAGATTGGTAATTATGGCTGTCTATATACTTGAAGATAGGGGAAATTCAACAAGTCTCGTGTAATAACATTGTCTCACCGACACATTTTTTTGGTTGAACCGCCCTGACGGTGGATCTGCCTTGTTGTATTGAGAGCTAACCCTTTGAGGTCCAGTCTGAGAAATGGTAATAAACCTTGTAGTTTCTAATTTGGGAGCCATCATGGTGTCGGTAACTAGATAAGTCTTGCAAATGAGCTTCAGGCTACGGCCTATTGGACTACTTATTGGAAGCTGAGTCTGAACTTGTACAAGGATGGACTTGCAGATACAGACCAACTTTTGTTGCACAATTTGGCTCTTTGGAAAGTTGAGATATGTTCCTTCATAGTTATATATCCTGGTGATTAGTAATTGGGACCTGTACGTATGTTTAAATATGCACTGGGAAAGATCTTAAGAAGTTCTTTTCATCTCTTTGTGGTTGTATCATTGAGGCACTGTGGAATAAGGTGTCCTTTGGCCGTGCCTTGTACTGAACATTCTTTTGAAAATTCTTCCATCCTTCGGTTTCTTCAACGAGCACACCTAGATATACTTGATAAGTAGCCAAAAGTCATTTAAGTTGAGTGTTTTTCCAGAATACTACAAGCAAACAAACCTGCTGCACTTTGGAGGTCGAATGATAGGTCGGGGAAAAACCTACAGCTTTCTTAAATGATAATGTGATCTAGTCGTGGAACTGTCGATTAGTCTAGCAAAAGCCTTTTCCTTGTTTGCATTCAGATCTGACACAGCTTGCTTACTGAGAGTTGGGGATAATTATCTTTGGCACCATATATTGTAAGATGGCGTATAAGGCTTATATCATTATATGTGGCTGAGGACATCAATTTTTGGACTTTGGGCTTCAGTCGATTTCTTGAAATGTTTTATCATATTTAAATTCACCCAGTGAGTGATATATTGACATGTTGGAGGTTTTGTTAACCATATGCTGCCAGTGAAGCCTTTTTGTTAATTATGTGTATCACTTGCCTTTTCTTGACAGGATAAGTCTTGGCGAGTGCGCTACATGGTGGCTAATCAATTGTATGAGCTTTGTGAAGCCGTGGGACCAGAGCCTACGAGGTATTGATTTAATTCAAGCCATGGGATAGCCTTGTGCACCTCGGGTTTTCTTAAACTCGCAAGCTAAAAGAATATCTATATGGGAACCGATGCTTGTCGACTATAAGTGCCTTCTTTTTGGACATTTGGGTGCCTGTCATTTTGAATCGCTGTTTCGAAAATCTGCTCATCTGATTAATTACTTTATTTGTTGGATTGGATTGGCTGCATGGATGTATCCCTTTCAGTTATAAGAGAAATGAAAAATCTAATTTCATCTTTTTTCATAATCTATTCTTGTATGTTATGATCCAATTTTGGTACTTCTTTCACAATGTGAGTAATTTCCAGGACGGACTTGGTCCCTGCATATGTGCGTTTACTTCGGGATAATGAGGCTGAAGTACGTATAGCAGCTGCTGGAAAAGTTACCAAGTTTTGTCGGATTTTGAACCCAGAACTTTCCATTCAACATATACTTCCGTGTGTCAAGGTGCGAATGTCTATGAAAACATAGCTTTTGCAGAGCTTTAATTTTGTTGTTCTGGATCATATTACCCATCTCACCTTCAGAATATCTCCATTAGTAATGACTGGCGACCTTTTGCAGGAACTGTCGTCGGATTCATCTCAGCATGTTCGGTCAGCTTTAGCCTCAGTTATAATGGGAATGGCACCAGTCCTAGGGAAGGTAGGTGCCTCGTACAGTGTCTGGTTTTACACCTTTTAATAACTATTATGAAAGAAGCCAGAGAAAATTTTGGCTCTTACCTGTTTGGATGACCACAGAGGTGTTATAATTTTTTAACACCTTTGGTCCTGCAACGTAACTAAGTGTTAGTTCCTTCATTTTCTTTTTCTTTGGCTCGATGTTTATGTTTGTCCCTCTTACTTGAATGAGCCAAGTGAAAAGCAAGATGGGGGAAAAAAGAAATGAGGCATTAGTCCAAAATCAATAGCATTTCCTTTTATTATGAAACCCTAAACAAATACCGTTGTATATTGTGATGCAGGATGCTACCATCGAGCAGCTTCTTCCAATATTTCTTTCCCTTCTGAAAGATGAATTTCCTGATGTGCGTCTCAACATTATTAGCAAGCTTGATCAAGTCAATCAGGTTTGCTGCAAACTTTAAAGATTCATCTGCACCTTTTTTCTTTTATGCACTTCAGATTTCTTCATTGTCACTTTTCATCGTGCACCTGTGAACATCTCCTCACATTGTTGGTATTTATTATTAGTATGAAATTGAAGTTAATCCTATGCAGGTCATTGGGATCGATCTTTTGTCACAATCGTTATTACCAGCAATCGTAGAGCTTGCTGAGGACAGACATTGGAGGGTCCGGCTTGCCATAATAGAGTACATACCTCTATTGGCCAGTCAGTTGGGTGTAGGGTTTTTTGATGATAAGCTCGGCTCTCTTTGCATGCAGTGGTTGCAAGATAAGGTAGGTTTGTTGGTTTCTAGTCTTACAGGAGAGCTCTTCGATGTTTTTTCTTGATAGTGTTATGACAGTCGCAGATAACTAAAAGTTTTCTCTACTTCTGTTTCTTTTTAATACCTCTGAATCACCAATGTCTCTTAACTTTTTATGCCTGCCAAGTTATTAGGAAACGATATTGAGGTTGTGGATGGACACAGGATTCCCATTTGATTGGAATTTTTTTTTTTAAAAAACTGTTTATCTAAAGACCTCATTGTCAGTCACTGGCTGTCGACTGCACTTGCCATTTTTTGAAATGCTGTAAACGTGAAATCACTGTCTCGGTTTTTTGAAGTTGTTCTGAATGAATGTTTCTGCTGATATATCTTCATAAAGTTTTTGCCTTATCGTCCATCGATATAGTTTGTGAAGGGTTTTGCATTTTGCCGGAAGTATGTCACTAAAAGCAAATCTCTTGCAGGTTTACTCAATTCGTGATGCAGCAGCAAACAACTTGAAGCGACTTGCCGAAGAATTCGGTCCTGACTGGGCAATGCAGCACATAATTCCCCAGGTGTTTATATTGATTTTGACCGTTAATTACCAGTTTTGTATGTTTTAATTCTGTCATAGACATGCTAAAGTATTGTTTAAAAAAACTGGGGGATGTGTTGATGTTAGTCCTTCCTTCTGCTGCTTCCTATTTTTTCCTCTTGGTCCTTCCCGCTTCATTCCCAGAGGAAGCCTTATTGCTTTCCTTTTATTGTGGCACCATTGAATATTATTCTTTTTCACAAATTATCACTTACTTTTCGTATTGGCAGTTAAAATAATAGTTGATATGTTTTATATTACAGACATTGGAGATGATAAACAATCCACACTACTTATACAGAATGACAATTCTGCGTGCAATCTCTCTTCTTGCCCCTGTTTTGGGGATAGATATCACTTGCTCGAAGCTGCTGCCGGTGGTGGTTAATGCATCGAAAGACAGGTACCTTTATGCTAACGAAACTACAACGTTTTTCATGAATGATTTCTTACGGCTTGCTTGTGCTTTGGAATTGGCAGGGTGCCAAATATCAAGTTTAATGTGGCAAAAGTGCTTCAGTCCCTCATGCCAATAGTTGACCAGTCTGTAAGTAACCCATGGAGATCTTAAAATTTTCATTTCTCAATATCTCTATCTTCATTTTTTTATAATTGCTGTTTTGGCAAGTAAAAATTTCATTCTAAGTTTTCCATTCGAATTTTTTGCCTTGTTTTCCTGCTGTTTTGGCATTCAGGCTTAGAATTGTTTCTTTTGTCCCTTTTGAAGAATGATTTTCTGCTCTTGATTTCTAAAGGCTTTTTTTTACCTGAAACAGATGGTGGAGAAAATGATCCGACCCTGTTTAGTTGAGCTTAGTGAGGATCCTGACGTTGATGTCCGCTTTTTTGCCAATCAAGCTCTTCAGGCTATTGACCAGGTTATGATGACTAGCTAGAAAGGCTGCTTTTGATAGATTCAGGTTGACATATGTCTTTAAATCGGTGTTTGATGTCTCTCTGGGATTGCTGTTACGTCATTGAATTAATATACTTCTCACGGTTTGAGTGAGATCTTACGATGGATCCTTGATTTCTGATTCCGTTGAAGGAGTAGCTGTTGTATTTGTCAAGTCAGATTAGAATGTACTCTGATCAAGGGTATGTGCCCTGTCTGAAGTATGCGATTTTATAGTGAGTTGCTCGTGTTCCGGGATGTTGGTGTGACGAAAATAGTGATTCATTTACCTTCTCCTATGTCTGCATGTCCAGCATGAAGCTCGAAGAGCGGTTTCCCAAGCTGATTTGCCTTCACATATACTTTTCTTTGCACGTTGAACATGTTGCCCAGTATATGTGGTTGGTGGATAAGAAAGAACAAAAAATGATATCTCCGATTGTAAGTCTTATAATGTGTTTTGACCTCACAAAGTCAGCAGTACAGTAAAGTAGGTTGGATTTGATTCATATAAGAACAGTCTCTCCAAGGTGGAGAGACAGATTTCTTCGGCATCTCAGCTCAGGCATTCGAGGTGCAGGGAATGTTCTTCCCAAGCTGAGCTGGTGGTGAGACATTTTATCAAGTATCATTTATATGGGTCTTTTTCTTCGTCTTCTAACCTAACCTAAAGCAACGGGCCGTCCAGCGAATTAAGTAGAGCTTCTATCATTAAGGATTTTGATTTCTCTGTTTTTTCCAATTTCTGAAGGAGCCACAGCCTAATTGTTCCTCTCATGCCCACATAGATCTGTACCAGTTCGGCTCCCATCATGGTTCCACCTAGTCACTTCGGATAGCTCATTTTGGCACCGCATTTATCGAGGATATAGTCTCTACAGTACACGTCGGTTCCACATGTCTCTTTCACCGTGTTCTTGTACGGAGTTCAAAGATTAAAAACTATAGTACAGAAGTTTAGTCTTTTTTCACGAATAATCACATGTCGTGCGTTTGGACAGAGCGGTCCTTAGGTATATATCCATAATGTACGTTAGAGCTTTTATCTAATTACATCGCACTACTTATGACCATCATTCTCATTCATGGGGATCCCTATCAACCATATCCTGTAAAACTGATCTGAAATATATTTGAAGTTAAATTTTCACGCGAACTGGGTGTTGGCCAATTCAAACAATTCGCTCCAATATCCTCAAAACGTCGAAAATGACCTTGTAGAGACTCATTTTGTAAAACAATCACAATGCAAAATTCGCATTGAATTGATAAAGCAACGAATTCTAGCTCTAGCTTTGTGATATGGAACCATCACACCCCCCCTCCCCCCCAGGGATTTACGAAAGATGATCCGCTTAGTCTGATTGAGACAGATTAATATCACAGTACAAAGATTGCTCCATAATCACATGAGATGCCGAAAAGGCCAGGCAAGAGCGTGACCAAGGTTGGAGACCAACCTCTAAGATGTGGAATAACATAGTGAAGACAATAAAGAAGGGGCAGGTAGATGGATAAAAAATGGACGGTGGGGGTTGAGAGACGCAAGATACGGTAAACTTTCGATCCAACAGTTGGCTTGTCTTGACAACATCGCGGACTGTCCTACCACAAATGCATAGCGTCAAATGACCTGCTCTTCAAGTACTACGATCACTTCCATATTCAGAATATTTACACACTACTTTTGGACAGGAGAAGTTACACCCTCTATGAGAGCAGAAGCCCAAATGGAAGATGACGATGAGGCAGAGGATGAACTAGAGGGAGAGAGAGCCTTTTGTTTCTTCTACTCCAGGTAACCAGATACTAGGAATGTAATTAGTTCAAAGTCTTTGCTCATTGAGACTGATGATGATCAAATCACTGACTCTAGCTGATAATCGCACTTGGACGTAGTCTTCTTTGGCAGGAGATGCATATTACGCACCATGTTTTTCCCACCTTTCGGAATATTCATTCTAGCAAGGAATCACGCATGAGTTGCCGGGGCCGATGAAGGATGGGCCGATCGAGCTGCTCAAGAGCCTTGTCCTTGGACCTCTATGGCTGGCGGGCCTTCGGCAGGATTCGAATTTTACTTCCCTATTTTCGTGGCTCGTTAAGGTTTTGATTTTGGAAAATTACCGAAAAAAGTTATAAACTTATTGTATGAATACCTATTGAGTCATAAATCTTTCAATTTACCAATGTAGTCCTTTTAGCAAATTTTTGCTGAAAATCGCTGACGTGGCGGTCCAGTCAACATCGGCGTTGATGTGGATAATTTTTGCAATTTTTAAATTTTTTTCTTTTTTGTCCTTTTCTTTTCTTTTCTTTTTATTTCCCTTTGCCAGCTGCTAGTCCTCGACAATAGCCAGCGGAAATCATCGATCACAGGCATGGGTTGCCCTCGCCAGTTCTAGCCCTCGCCTATGGTTGGCGACCGATGGAGGGAAAAAGAAAAGGGAAAGAAAAAAAGGGCAAAAAAAGGAGAAAAAATTATAAAAATTGTCCAAGTCAATGGCAATCATGCCACGTAAGATGGTTGGTGTCCACATCAAAGATTTTCGGTCAAAATTGGTCGGATAGACTACATTGGCAAATTTTAAAAAGGTTTACTACTAAATTGAACAATTCGAAAAGTTTATGACTGAATTGACATCCATATAATAATAAGTTTATGGCTTTATTTTTTGGTAATTTTCCTGCTAATTGTAGTGAGCTCTAGAGGAGATGCCTTCTATACTCTAGACATGTATTTCTTGTTGAGATTCCGACGAGATCTCGGTGGCACCAAGAGCTGGCGAGATCCCATTGGTGTCAAGCCAAGATCTACCCACACGGAGAGAAAGAGAGAGTCTGGGTGGTTAGGATTTGCACTTATCATGTGTGGGTGAGGATCAAATAGAGTGAAATGTGTAGAAAAATTGAGAGCAATCGAGACGACAAACGAGGATACTAAACGTGAGGAACGAGGATGGAACCTCATTCAAATCTGTATGCATGGGGTTTGGCTTCAAACTCAACTGTTACGAGTCGAACGGATAAGCAATGCTCGGGACTCAAAGACTTGTTGTATATAATTAGTTTACACAAAGTGATACGACGGACGGGAAGTAAGAGAGTACCTATCGTCGGTCATATTAAGAGTCCAACAGGATCTTGCCAAAAGACGTCCAGATCCAATTTTGTACATCATAACTTTTGGATCTGAAGAGGGCATGATCTAATTCAACTGCTTGGTAGGTTTTCTTCAAAAAGGGGCAAGGTCAACGGGCTAACAAATGGAGATCAGCCGGATGCAATGAACTCCATAAAGAACACGATACTTCCCAAAGTTGACTAACCTTTTGGAGTCAACATAGACATGTAAAAAGTTAGGTAATCATAATAATATTAAATTAAGAAAGAGGGAAATCAGTCAAAGAGAACAGGTGATCTAACACGCGTGAGGGGCGGAGTGACAGATCTCGCGTTATAAACGTTGGGCTAATGATCTCCAATCAAAATCTGATTCTAGGAGTAATTAAAAAGACTCCATATATAACACATATGATCCTATATGTCATTAAATTTGCACAGATCAAAGTAAACACACGACGAATGAACAAGTCATATAATCACAACCTAGGCGTGGATATGAATTTGCAGACAAATTTTGCCACAGACCCGAAAAGATCACCGATGAACAAAGGCCCTGACATGAGACATCATTTCTAGCGCACGAGCTTGTGCCGTGTGCGACTTGCTAAGGACCTGAAACGCATGACCAACTCCGTCGTACACGACGCATCCGACAACATTGCCCGCTTTGGCCAAAGCGCCGCAATACTCCACGTTTCTATCCTTCAGTATGTCCCTCTCTGATATGCACACCAAGGTACGAGGCAAAACCCTCAGTTTCTCCGGATTGCGACCGCCACGCTCGTCTCGTGTGAGTGGATTGCACCAGGGATGGTCCCGACTGGTTCCGTGCGGCAAGGCCAGCCGCCAGTACGTGTCGGATGTGGCCACAGTCAGCGCCGAACCTGGCGGCTGCGCTGTGTGCTTCTCCGACTCTGTCCTCGCCTCACCTCCGAAGAAGGGTTGTATCAAGATTGCACCCTTGAAGCGTAGCGATTTCGCCGCTTCGAGCTCAGTGTCGTTATCGGAAACGAGTCTTGAGGCCAAATGGTGGGTTATGTTGGCTCCGGCACTGTCTCCGGCGAGGAAAACTCTGGAGAAGTCGCACTGCCTCGTCCACCGCTCGCTAGAGGCTTCTAGGATTTGCTTTCCAAGCCACGTCAAGGCTTTGAAGCCGTCTTCGTAGGCGGCCGGGAGGGGGTTCTCCGGTGCGAGCCGATAATTCACGGACAAGATCACGCAGTTGACTTTGAGGGCTAGCTTGGCTAAGAACTCATGATAGCAGCTCCAAGCGGCCGAGCCGACGCAGAAGCCACCACCGTGGAAGTACACAATCAACGGAAGGAGCTGGTTTTGCACGTTGTTTGGGACGTAGAATCTCACCCAGACGTTTGTGAAATTGTCGATGACGGTGTCGGTTGATGTCACGCCGAGCTCTTGAGGCAATGCAGAAGAGACGAAAGGGACGACGTTGGGTCGCTCCACATGTCCATCTTCGTACACTCGGATGAGCCCTCCGATCTCATCTGTTACAGCGCCATGCCATTTCTGAGAGACATCGTCGTGGCCGACGGCCTTTAAAGTTAGGGTTGGACCGAAGGTTATTGCAGCCATTCTTCTTCTCGTGGATAAATGATAATTAGATCGTGTTGTATGCATGAAGAGAAGATCAAGCCAGAGCGTTGGCGAACGATATGTGATAGTATGATGTCTATGAAATGTTTGGCATTAGTACTTCCTTATATAGAATCCGAGCAGACATAAAAAAAAGGACTATCTAGGGTTAATTAGATCAACAAACAAAAAAGAAAAAATATATATTTATCCATATAAAGAGAAATGTGATCCTATCTTGAGCTGCCAAGTGGGCAATTTGAAACTTGCTATCTGAATTCTTCAGGTGGACTCACATCCTCAGCTTTTTCTCGTCAAAAGGGAAATAAAATTATCTGGCGACCTTTATATGTTCGTGACATATGCACGCACTAGCTTATTAATTGTTTAAATAAGACCAATAAACTAGCTAAGCCATTCATTATATGCATTCGAAAAAGATCATCAGTAAAAGAAAAGACGAATCTCTAAGCATCATAATTTTGCTAAGATTGATTTTCAACAAAATCTGCTCCACCCAAATGCCCTCAAATGAGACATTCTTTCTCGAATCCATCATATGTGAGGGAATTCCAAAATAGGAAAAAAGGCAACTCGATACGCGCATATGAACCTAGAGCTGGTTGAGTGGTCATACTTGGCTTGAATGCGTAGATCTCATGTACGAATTACGTTTGACACTCAAAGCAACTCTTTAGGCCACGTCCTTTGTCCTACTAGCGGAACCTTACTTTATACATGGGATAAGATTACTTGTTACAAGAACATTAAAGTTCCGTTCGTTTCGCGGAAAACGTTATGTTTCTGAAAAATGTTTTCCCGAAAATCATTTTCCTAGAAAATGACACAATTTTCCGGTGTTCGGCTGAAATCTGAAAAAGTTTTTAAAAATATTTTTCGTTATCCGGTATGAAAAATATTTTCCTCATTGCAATACTTTTAATAATTTTTGTTTATTAAAAATATTTTTAATTTTTTTTTCTCTTTTTTTTTCTTATTTTTCCTTCTTCTTCTTCTCCGGTAGGTCATCCGCCACAACGACGTCCAACGACCGGCCATAGGCGAGCTTGAGCCTCGCCACAAGCCGGCAAGGCTTGAGCTCGCCAGATTCCGGCGAGGTTGAGCCTTGCCGGCCTGTGGCAAGGCTACACCTCGCCTGATCCGATGAGGCCAAGCTCGCCCGAGGTCACCAGACGTCGGCGAGGCTTTGGCAACCTCGGGTGACCTCGACCGCGCTGGATCAGGCGAGCCGGAGCCTTGTCACAGGCCGGTGAGGCTCGACCTCGCCGGTCGCCAACCGCCACCGTGGCCGGCGACCGGCTGAGAAAGAAGAAGAAGAAGGAAAAAAAAAGAAAAAAAAATAGGGAAAATAAATGGTGAAAGAAGTCTTTTCTGGAAAATGTTTTCCTCTTTTGTGAAAGAGGAAGTCATTTTCAAAAAAAGTGAAGGAGTTTTGTCCATAAGAAGGAAAAAATTTTTCTTGGAAAGTTATTTTTTGTGAAACGAATACCGAAAAATATTTCTTCAGAAATTATTTTTTGTGAAATGAACGTTGCCTAATTGTGTGAAAGATTAATATCACAAAATAAAATCTTAGATACCCTTAAAATGTGTGGCATGACATTGTTGACATTTGAGGGAATAAGCGGTGCCATAGTGGAAACTTTTGGTTGCCTCCCAATAACATCTTTTCAGCGGGACCGGTGGAAACTTGTACTGGTGAATTATGATAGTCGAGAGAGAGGGAGAGAGACTTTCCCTGATGTTTCCTTCCAGTTTTGGAGCGTGTGTGGGACTTGAATGGGGCCAGCCATCCAATTTAAAGAAAAAGCAACTTTGGCATCGGGCGTCGCGCCCGAAACACCCGCCAGGCCCTCCCTCCACGTTTTCAGGAGAACCATGGAAGTTGCTCATTGATGGACTTCCGAACTGAAGTCTGTAGCCATTGGTCAAAGGCTTTGTCTCTTCATAGCTTCGCTGCATTCATCACATTCATGCATATGGTGTATACCTCTGTCCCATAGTGATGAAGCATCTATTGTCACTATCTGATTAGTGGTCAGACCATTCAATAATTCATTTTTGCGCCAATTATTCTGGGCGAAAAATGGGGCCCTGGAGGACTTATTTCCCCAACACAGAACATGGAGTCTGGCATAATATATTTAAAAAGTAAGATGATAAGCATTCATCAGTAGACAAGTATTTGCTTTTTTTTTACCCTTCCCTTCCCTTTATTTCTTTCCCCTTTTGCCCCTTCTCAAACGGAGCACCTCCTAGTTGCATCCATGGTCAAGTCGTGTCATGATTGACTCAAGCTATCTGTTCCGCCACTCGCACTGTCCTTTCTTACTTCTCTCTGTCAAGATATACATGTAAATTATATTAGGAAGATTTCACACGAAAGAATTGTTATGATGTGCAGCAAATTCTAATTAGTCCATAATTCATTGGCGTAACATTTTGATTGATAGCGGATCCAACAGAATATACTAACGAGTTTGAATTTGAGCTCCCTCTTAACAATATCCTCATATGAAGATTTTGAATTTCTACTATGCGCTTCCCAACACCCTCTTCTCGAGATCACTTGAGGCCAGCAGCCTCCTGAAAGCGGAAGAGAGAGAGAGAGAGTGTGTGTGTGTGTGCTGATGTCAAACGACCAAAATCGAGTTCACTTAAGGCCAGCAGCCTCCTTAAGGCAAGCAACTTGCACGGTGGTCGCCAATGCTTGATTTTGCTCTCTGTCCTTTCATAAGAAACATTACAGGACATACTAATTGAGAGAGAGAGAGAGAGAGAGAGAGAGAGAGAGAGAGAGAGAGAGAGGTTTCATTGGGAGTTTAGGCGGATGCTGACTACCTACTCTTTCACTATTCATCGCATCACGAGTGGACGGAGGTGCTTGGGAAGAATTTTTCTCCACTAATGGTATCAAGAGGAATTTTTATTGAAGGGAACAAACATCTTCGCAATAGTTTACGAGATAATACAACACATGTCGCATATGAAAAAAAGCACAAGGGAAAAGAGGTCATTTGTTAATCCCATGTAGTCATGGCCACGGGCCGGTTTCGGCCCGGAACCGGCCCGGTCAAACCCAGGCCCGGCCCGTTGACCGGGCCCGCGGTTCGGAACCAGAACCGGCTCGTGGCCTACGAGCCCGGTTCCGGTTCCAAAAAAAATTTAAAAAATTTAAATAAATAAATTTAAAAAAAAAAAACCTGCAGCAGGGCATGCACGTCTGCAGGCCCTGTTGCGGCCCGTTGCCGGGGCAGCCTTTGCAGGCTACCTTAGCAACAGGAAAAAATAAAAAATAAAAAAAACACAAAAAGATAACCGTTGCAATTTGCAATTTGCGGCCCAATATCTAGCTTTTTTTTTTTTATCCTAAACTTTCTTCTCATTTTTTTCTTATAAATTCTCTCAATACTCTCAATTCTCTCAAATTCTCTTCTCTCAAATTTTCTCAATACTCTAAATTCTCTCAAATTCTCTTAAATTCTCTCAATTTTCTCAATCCGCGCAATTCTCTCTTAATTCTCCCAATCAATCCGCTCAATTCTCTCAATCCACTCGAAAAATGGCAAATGGAAGTCGAGTGCCAACTGGCAAAGGTAAAAATATCATGACGAAATCCCATCATTCTTTTGATCCTCGTGATTATGCAGATTTTCAAGATGATGAAATCAACATTTTTCCGGATGTGGAGCGCATCCCGACGCAAGAAAGTCTTCATCCTCCTGCCGAAATATCTACAACAAAGGAGGCGGAGCGGGAACTTACATCTGACATTTGGGATCACTTCACGAAAATGGAAAGGTTTGATATTGATCAAAAAATGTATGATATAATTTATAAACATTGTGGGAAAATATATAAATATACAGGTGGACAACGATATAGAACATTCAAACGACATCTTAGGAGCAAACATCCAACCCAAGCGGGAATCGATATCAGGCAACAACAAATTTCCGGGTACGTCAATCCTAACATTTCCCCTTTATTTCGTTTTAATGAAAAAACTTATAAGGAAGAATTAGGTAAATTTGTTTCCGTTGAGCAATTATCATTTAATTTTGGAGAAAGATTTGATTTTAATCAATTTGTACAAAAAGCATGTGCTCCACAAGCAAAATGTGTTCCTAGAAATTCACTTAAACGAGTAATTAAAGATCTTTACAAAAATGGAAAAAAAGATTTACAAAACTTTTTTATGCAATTTAATGGATGCGTGCATATAGGTAGTGATATTTGGAGTGATCATTGGCAAATTCATTCTTACATGGGCATAACATGTCATTGGATAGATGACGATTGGAGTATTCAAAAAAGAGTTATTGCATTTAGAGTTTTCGATGGTAAGCATACGGCAAATAATATTTATAGAATAATTAGGCAAATTTTAGAAGAATATTATTTGCTTAACAAAATTTTTTCAATTGGTTTTGATAATGCCGCGGCAAATACCGCTTCAATTGCCGATTTAGAAAATATTTGTAAACCCGCTTTTGGCGGAAAATTTTTTTAACGTTAGATGTGCTTGTCATGTTTTAAATTTATGTGTACAAGATGGTTTGAAAACTCTTGATATTTTTCTTGAACCAATAAAAACGGCGATTCAATTTTTATGGAAACATCCCCAAAAAATGAAAGAATGGGGTAGATTTTGTAGAGAAAATGACAAAAAGCCAAAAAGATTTCCAAGAGATGTTCCAATTCGTTGGAATTCTACTTTCCACTTGCTTAGTGAATCTTATGAATATAAAGATTTATTATGTGCATTCATTTCTAATAATATACCTCAGATTAATTTATACCCACAAGAGTGGGGTATTTGCAAAAAAATTTTAGATATTTTAAAGGTTTTTAATGATGCAACTTATACTTTGTCCGGTGTTTATTATCCTACTACGCATTTATTTTTAGTAGAGTGTATTAATATTGTCGGAGTTTTTGAGGAATATGAAAATGATGTTGAATTACAACATACAATAGTAACAATATAAATGAAGTGGCTACATTATTATAGCGAAATTCCCATTATTTATTTAGTTGCTTGTGTTTTTGATCCGCGTTGCAAATTAGATGGTTTAAGTGATTATTTGCATATATATTATCAATGTTTACATTATGATACGGTAAATGTTACAACCATACTAAGTGAGGTTAAAAACGTAGTAATAGAATTATATAATGAATTTTATACTAAATATAATTTAGGTGATATTGGATCTTCTCAATCTACCGAGACACAAAGTGAGAGTACAGGTAAAATTAGTAGAGGGTACCAACTTTTATTACATAGACAAAACAAACAAAAGGGAGTAATAGGAAATATTTCTGAATTAGAGATTTATCTAACCGTTTCCTTTGAGTTTACTGAATTCGAAGGTAGTACAGGTTTTTTAATTTTGGAATGGTGGAAGAGGCACGTAAGCCAATACCCAATCCTTTCTCTTATTGCAAAACAAATTTTTGCAACCCGTTATTCCACAGTTGCGGTCGAACAAGCATTCAGTGCCGGAGGTAATATTTTGGACGAACATCGTTCAAGATTAGCTCCAGAATCAGTGGAGGCTCAAGCTTGTTTCGATGATTGGACGAAGACTCAATACCGACAACAAGAGATAGATCGGAATAATGAATCCGAATTCTTTAACGACGGAGATACCATCGGTACCGGTACCGCTACCGGAAGGGGTAGCGACGACTGAGGGTAAAAGAACTGTTGGAGTTGGCAAATATTTCGGGGACCCTTGTTTCTCATACCGGGCACGCCCACGTGAACTTAGGGAAACCGAAGTATAATCTGACGACATGTGACCCCTGCGCACAGAATGCGGGGGTTTGGATAGGCTTAGGTTTTGGGATCGTTTTGGGGTCATTTTAGGGCATATATATTGTGCTCCTTTTTTTTTATAGATCATTGTAACGAATTGTAAGTCGCTTAATGATAATTTATTAAGTTCAAGCCCTCTCTTTCTCTCTTTTTGTTCCAAAATTCGATTACAATTTATATTGAATAATTCATTATTTCATAATTCATTATTTCATAATTTCATAATTCATTATTTTTTTATTTCATAATTTATTTTTTAAAATTTTAAATTATGAACCGGAACCAGCAAAAATCGGAACCGGCCCGGAACTTGAACCGGCCGGTTCATACATGACCACGAACCGGAACATTCGGTTCCGGGGTTCCGAATCGTGGCCATGACTAATCCCATGCATCAACAATGAAACGAGAACAAGAGAAAAACACGTGGGGTAAGAGCGATTAATGGGTCGCATAACGTCATTGGCTTTGAAGTTCTCTATGATCGAAACACCAACAATGTAATATCACCCACTTAAAGTGTACATATACTCAAAAGTAGGCCTAAGGGTATATAATGAATAATATATAGTTTTTCGAACCAAAAAAAAAAGAATAATATGTAGTTTGGGGCAACTAGACATTCGATGTGATTGCACGTGCAGATGGGCAGCCATCTTTATTCTGCAGACATTCCCTTGGTCGTGAGATTTCCTTTTTCGTACCCTTTCAATTTCATTGAACCTCGAAGTAGATTAAAGAAAGTATTTGTCACATGCCTTAACGTGGATGTGATAGTCATAGATAGAGCATGACCGAATAAGATTTCAGCTGCCTAGTCGTTAATATGTCAAAGGAAAGGACCCAGCATAGTCACTAAGGTGAATTGGTTAGTCTTCAGTTTGTAACCGGGTTACCGACTTCTCGGAGCACCGACCAGCCCGATTCTCATTGGAGAGTATGGAAAGCCCGGAGGGATGGACTTCGGTTTTTATTTTATTGTATTAATAGCAAGCATGCGCGGTAGGTCAAGACAGGATTCACCGGAGTTGCTGAAGATCAAAGGGTGTGGATTTGGGCTAGATGCCCCATGGCGTTGGTCGAGGGGAGGGTGTGCGGCCAAGCTTGGGCCTTAAGCTTGTGATTGGACCACCTTAAGGGCAGGTATCCGGTTAGGCGGTACATTTGATTCAGCTTTTGAATGGGTTTTGGGGTTGCAAAAGCTCTTGGACAAATGTTAAGGTGTTTGGCAACTCTTTTAAGAGAGCTTTGGAGAGATGTGTTGCATTTCCAAAGTCCTCTAAAGACCTTTAGCTTAATGCAAGTCCTCCCAGCTTTAGGTTTTGCTCATTTCTACAATGCTAATGCATTTTTTGCCTTCCAACTTTGCTCTTGCTAAACTTTTAAATTTCCAGTTTTGCCCTCACCAATTTTGTTGTGAAGCCTTGCGCAACATTGCCGGCAAGCCAAATCTAACGTTGGCGAGCCTCGCCTGAGGTCGCACGACTCCAAGCAACGACCGCCTTGCTTAGTGTTACATGACCTTGGTGAGGGGTGGCCCTCGCCGAGGGTCACCTAAGGTCGTGTATCCACAGGCAACGGCGGCCAATGCCAGACTTGGCTTGTTGGCTATGGTCAACGTCCTGCAGTTGCAATTTTGTCCTCATCATTTTCACTGTGTAGCCTCATACAACTTCGTTGGTAAGCCAAAATCTGGCGAACCTCGCCATAGATAGCATGACTTCAGGTGACGATCGCCTGCTCTCTTAGGGTCACGCAACCTTGACAATGAGTCGCTGGGGTCACATGACCCTAGGTAGCCCTCATCGGGGCTAACCTAAGGTCGTGCATCCTCAGGCGACGTTCGCCAATGCTAGATCTGGTTTATTCGCGATGGCTAGTGTCCTGCAGTCGCAAGAAGATTTTCTTTTATTTATTTATTTAAAATATATACTTAAAATTCTTTATAAGTCTATTTTTCTAAATCAGTATTTAGATCAAAATTGATTCCCAAGGCACGTTTCAATTACACTTTACCAAACACTATTTGCATTTTAAAAGAAACCCTTTAGCCTAAAGTCTTTGCACTTCCCCAAAGACTTTCCCAAAATACCGAACCAAACGCAATCCAAATTCTTATCGGTGCACCTTCGTCAAACGGGTTGACTTATTGGATATAGGGCAAAATTTGAGGTGTTGACGTGGGTCTAAAATGCTTTGGCACAGAATTTTCTCAACTCAAGCATAAAAAATCGAGGTACTTTTTTTGAAAAAAAATCGAGGTACTTGATTGAACAGAGAAACGATGTGGGGGCATGTAAAGGTGGTCGGAAATATGTTGAAACAGCCTCAGACAATGTTTGGTATTTGGCCCCAAGTCATCAGGCTTTGAATGAGCTTCTTTCGATTGCACCTGTCCAACCCTCCAACATAACGGCCCAAAGTTCGCATGTTCAAGTTGAGCTGTGTGGAATTTGTTTATTTGGATGAACTTTATAGATTATAGAGTTATGCCGTGTTAATTATGTTACGATCGAATGCTCGAATTAGATATATAATAACAAACTCAGATGTCATTTAAAAAAAATTCGGGTCTAGACTCGAAAAACAGTCGGACGTTCACAGGTTCGCATGACTCATCTACGGTGATCCAATGTATTTGAAAATTCTTAGTAAAGTAATCGAGCTTTAATCTCGTGCCCACCAACTCCAACCTCCTAAGAATGTCTCAAGCTCGTGATCTGGTTCGAGAACAACTTTAATTCTGTTGCACACCGTATAGATAGGATCCGACTCAAAGGTCAAGCGCATTCTTTTTTCTTTTTAACTTCATCTGGAATTCTAAGTCCACGTTTAGTAAAACTTCTGTGCCTAAAATATAATATAAGCATATTTCATGGACACGCAATTTACCAAAGTGTCTTAATCTTAATAATTACAAAGCATGGGCCAATCAAAGCTTCGATTTCCCTAAGTGATGCGTACCTGTTCATATCGGAGTCAACAAGCAACCACCCCGCAAGCAATAATTTAAGAATTTAAACATGCACTAACCTACAAAAATCGACATATTCTCTCGTTCCATGAAACTTGTTTCACTTGGGTCAAGGATAGACCCCAAGCTGACCATCTTCTTCCTCCCATTGATCATCTCCTCCCTATATAATTCCTAAACCCAAAAACTTGTTGTCAAGTTGAGAACAAAAGCGATCCCCATTACCACATCAATCCTTGATCTTCCATAGGCCCGCCATGTTTATTCAAACCGAACCCCATCTCAGCGCCGGTGGCGACGACGACGACCTCGACTATGCCGAGCTCGAGAAGCAGATCATCCTGTTAATGGCGGATGACGGCGAGGATGAAGGTGTCGCCGTTGAGACCAAACCCAATTCCTACAGACAATTAGGCTTCCCGAGCAATATAAGATACGATACTGCTTCTAATTTGGGCCAATGGGAGAACGATGGTTCCGGTTCGGTCCCGGCTTGGCTTTTGAATTTGTGGAACAGTGGCAGCGTTGGTGGGACTGGTGTGTTCATTCCTCAGTTAGTTCAGAAGAGAAGAAGACACAACTTCGGTGAGTTCTTGGATTGCTAATTCGAGAATCACCCTGATTTTCTTTTTTCTCTTGTTATTTTTCTTTTGGTGTTTTGGGACACGACATATGAATCTATTGATCATGTTTTAGAGTGCTGATGTTAAGTGGGTGCATGTTCGCAGGAAGGACGAACAACCGCAGGAAAACAATGTACAAGCAAGTGGAGAAGAAGATGCACAAGTGATAGTTTAGAACATCATTTTTGTCAAATAATACAATGTCAGTATACAATATGATTTTTTTTGTAAATCTTTATTTCCAAGCAACAGTGTGCATAATAATAATAATCAATTACGCCCTTTTGAATTAGATTAAATCGGTGAGGTTGGTGGCCTCAGCTTAGGCTTGTCTTCTCCACCAGGCTCATGTTAACCCAACTCGATTTGCAATTCTAACTATGTCGTCAGCTAGAACTTGAATGATTCAGATAAGATATGGTACATTCAACATGAATACTTGGAAAGAGCGCAGAAACTTGACCAGGTTTTCAAACAAAAGTGATAATGGTTAATGCATATCGGAGCTTAAGAGATTTTTCAATTGTATATATATAGGGCCAAAGATAGTGACATGATGCATGTAATGGCGATACCCGCTAGGAACATGATTGAGCCGAGTTGAGTGGACAGAGATCAACCAAATACTCGATACTTATTTCCCCTTCATCTTCAAAGTTCAAGTCGACTGCATAAACCACGTCGCCTTTTATAAGTCATTTCAACTAACTCTGCTATCAGCTCAAATTTGCAAAGCACAATAACAACTAGATAAACTTGATTAAACCCATGAGATGCTCAAATTTGGTATTTTTCACATTTGAATGGATCTAACACTCAAGCTACTTGAAAGAAAATAAGTAATTTAGCAGAGTTCAAGTAAAAAGTTGAGTTGGAATATCTCACGAGTAGCTCGACTCACTTGCATTTCTATTCCCAACTGTTGCCCGCTGAGGGAAGCACATTGGACCAGACAAGCCTAAGTGAATTCTTTCGTGTCCAGTCTTCTCTAATTTGACACCAGATATTTGATGTGATAACACTAACCATCCCAGGATTTCATGAGAATACTCAGATGTGCGCAAGACCAGGCCAAACTACGTAAATCACCCGAAGTGCTTCGGAGAACTAATGCATGGACATTTTAAATGTACATCAATTGACAAAAGAAGAATTAACACAGACGTGTGTAACATCAATAGGCAGAAGAAGAATTGACAAAATCACTTGTAATATCAATTGGCAAAATAGAAAAGAATTAGCCATCAATTACACTGCAGCATTGCTGCGAAAAACTGATCTAGCTAGAATGAGTGGTAGAACCAATATGCACAACCAAAAGAACCTAAATCTTTTTCTCATAGATAACTTATTAAGATGATCAATTGCATCCTTATCCTGTCAACATTTCAAACAGAAAATGTATTACGTATCCGACCGTCGAACCTATTGTGTGTCAAAACTTCTGTCACTCTTGCACTCCTATGTTGAAGACGCTGATGTAGCATCTCGGATAACTGGTTGAAGAACTCAGCGTCCCATCTATGAATCAACTGTGGATCTTCTGCGAAGCAAACGTAGATAGATGTAACAGCACTTTCCACCACAGCCATTCCCACTCCAACCTGAAATAGATTATCTAAGCCGTGAGAAAAGACGAAATCAAGTAGTCATAGCACAATAAACAGGGATGCCAGGAAGTCCCAAAGTCGGGGCAAATGTCAACGACGACAAGAAACCGATCGTTTACAGCAATATTTCATTTCAGACTGGCCCACATTCAAAGCAATCAATCCCGCATAGGAGCTATACTGTACCATAATGGCATATACTGTGCATTTGGGACAGAAAAGTACTAAAAAGAAGTCCATGAACCTTAGAATGAAGCAGGAAAAATCGGTTTGGTCAAAATGCTATTCCATTGCACTGTCGACTAATAAAATATTGCAACTTGAGTGAAAAAGATTGTAGATATTTGGCCAGAGAGAGAGAGAGAGAGAGAGAGAGAGAGGACTTACCAAAACCATACCCATCAACATTGAAGTGGAGCCGACCATAACAACTCTATCATTAGACTTAAACCAAGCCCAAACTCCAGCGCAAGTTCCAGTTACAAGCCCTCCCAAGATGGTACCCATCAACAAAACAGCGCCAGAGCAATCATATGCAACAAGTGCTTCAACCCCAGTGGACTGAAATAACTCCCACGCATCTCTTGCAGAATGGTTAAAGCTTTTACCATAAACTGCAATCTGACAAAAAGTTAAAGGATTGTCATGCAATGATACATAATAATGCCATAAAAAATTGTTAATGTTGAAAGGAGGAGGAAAAGTTAACAAAAGAAATGTCGAAAGATTCAATAAGGAGAAAAGCAAAGAACTTATGCTGCAGGCTTGAGGTATGCAGCACTCACAGTAGTGTAACCGGGCTAGAGTATAAGGAGCTGATAACTTGCAAATGCCAGAAATTTAAGGAAAATCAATTTGTTTTCAAAGTTGCATCTGATCAAATGCAAGTGTAGAGCGATGTCATTATAACTAACAGAACATTTGATGAAAGCTTCACGTAATCTTCATACTATTACAGCTGACCAAACAGAATATTTATGACTACCACCTCAAAAGGAATAGATATATCAGCCAATATCAATGTCTGAAATGAAGCCCCTTTCTTGTCATTCCTGTTTCTTCGTTTTTAAGCTGACCATATATAGTTTTCTTTCATTCAATTCATTGCTAGTCCCTCTATTCCTTCATAAGACAAGAATCAATCCAGTTGAAATGATTCATTGTCTTTACAAGTGCAATGGATGTTGGCGGTAAATTTCATTATTCGAACAGGGTTATAGTGTTTTAAGTACTTGTATTGACTTTGTCTCGTGCATATGGTGATACCTACAGATATAAGATCACCAATATTTCCTTGATTGTACATCTAGAAGTGGCAACTTAATAGCAGATAAGATTTCGCTTTTTATGGATCAAACATAGATCACCAAGTTATCTCAAAATTCATCAGGTCGTGATGGAAGCAGTACCCCCCATATAAATTTTCTCAATCCCCCTCAACTCCATATATATTGCATGCTTAAATACCAATCAGGGCCATAGCCATCCAGCCATATCTTTTGCTTCTCACTTTTTTTCCCTACCATACTTGAGCACCAAAATTATTTTTATCTGTCCATATAGTATGCCTGCGCACTCTCAAGGTTCTACTTCTAAATACCAGTCACGACTATAGTGTATATTTGCACCGGTGAAACTTCTCTGATTTTAGTCAACTGCATACGCCTTAAGAACCAGACACCCATCACTGTCGAACAATGTTTTTCATCACTCATCGATAAAAATGCTTCCACAACGGAACTAATCATTAAGGACCAAAATGAGGCAGTCATATATGCCCCCCCGTAAGGCCACTACAGCCAACACTAGCACTCAAGGGATAGTAGACATCACTAGCTCGCTGTCAAAGGTAGCATTGTCGAACCATACATCGGAACACACTCTGCGAAAATGCCAAATAAAACCATGATATAGCTTTATATCTGAACCATAGACTAATTTAGCTACTGCCCGAAGCTGATTGGTTTCCGAAAGAGACAAAGCAGACTACCAAGAACAGAAAAGGTACCTGTACATAAGCATATTTGTTGAAAAAGCGTACAAGTGTCTCCACAAGGTTAAAGAGAAAATCCACGCAGCAGAGCAGACATTCGTTGTTGCCAATCTTCGACCGGAATCCCCTGATCTGGCAAATGTATTACGCAGGAAGAATGAATTAATGTTGCCAAATTTAAAATTACCAATGACATGCCAAATAGAGCTAAATTGCTCGGTGTCTAGAAGGAAAATATAAGCCAAACATGCATACCTCCCAACGCAAGGTCCTTATTGCAGCAGTAAATAGTGATCCGTAACATATGCTTCCAAAAGATGTAGTCACAGCATATCTAAGTGTATTCAATAATGAGTTTTGAGGCATCGACAATGATTGTCGACCTCCATGGATGAGAACCAGAAACACCAAACCAGACACTATTACATGTACGGTATTGCAGAGAACTGCACCTGTCCAAAATAAGCTTACAGAGAGCACCTGCATGTAAATAATAATGGTTACAGAAGTCATCAACTTCATCCTGTCAGCTCTACTCATTCATTGCTTGTAGATTATATCCCAAGATTGTTCAGACAACAAAGAGCAAAACTTGCCAGCTCACCATAAGAAGCCACCATTGTTTACCATCATCCATGCTTGATGCAATGACACCAGCTGCTCCGAAGGACCATATTACCATCCATAAAAGCATAACTAGCATAAACAAATATGCTATTCTCGAAACTTCAGGCAGATTCCATACCATCTTGACAGCCTTCTGAAGTACCAACATGGTAAATGGAAGTCTGCAAAAGAAAACAACTAACTGAGTGAAAGACTAAGGATTGGTAATTCTATGAGCATTTAAATGGCAGCAATTCTATATGCTCGTGAAAAACATGAAGGAGACTATTACATATACTCTACAGTCTGCTCGTACGAGGGAATCCCCCTCCCCCTGCACCATATTAGATCTAACTTGAACATCTATACTCCTCACCAACTGAAGTCCACATGAACCTCTTACCATCGCTCTCTATCAATGTGGAAAGACAAATTTTGTCTATTAAGGATAGCGCATGGTTTCATTTAAGAAAGAAAATCAGATATCAAAGTCCATTCAAGTACAAAGTCAGTTGATATTCCAATTTCCAAGTACTCATAACTAAATTCAAATATTGCATATAATTTGAGAAATCCAAATCATAGGGACAACGAATGCTAGTACAGAGTTGAGCTTTGAGAACCTTCATTTCTGTCATCCTTTACGATGTAATAATCTAATTTAAATCAAGTCATCTACTCCAAATAAACAAGAAAATTCCACAATAAAATGCAATCTCTACCTGTCTATAACAGATATCACATACAAAAACTGCAGTGCAGCTCCAACTGCGAAAGCAACACCACAGAAAAAGCGCTCACCCCAGAAGCACAGCACACTAATCACGGCGAGATAAGTAGTCAATATATGCACCGACACTTTCATCATGTGATTAGCTTGAGAACCCAGAAACAACAACCACATCCATCCAAGAAGAGTTCCTGCACCACCAGCAACAGCATATAATGGCCAGTACTCCTCCGTCAATCCGGCATCGCTATCAGATGGCACTCTGGTGTACTTGTCAAGATTTAGTCTGTCCGATTTCTCGAACCTGTTAAGTCCGAGAACTCCGAGGATGAGACCGAAGCCGAACAAGTGGATCAGAAATATCGCTAACCAAAAGACATCCCTCCAGTGCCTCGAGGGTGGAGAAGCAAGTATCTGACTAGGATCAGAGCTTCTTCTACTCCTCCCAACAATCTGCTGCGGAAAGGGTAAACAAATTGTCAGATGCCCAAACCCATTTCGCACCAATTTAGACCACGCTCCGATTCAATCCAGGGACAAACAAGAAAGGGAGAGGGCCAAGAAAAGGGGGCAATGTCCATGATCAAACATTAGCCCAACACACAGACAGGGATAAAATAGGAAATTTGACCCGGCGAACGTGTAAATCAAACAGCAGGAATCGACCAACCAGTTAAAAGAAAAGCAACAGAGGCTGAATAAATCTGAAACACAACATTTCACAGAAAATCCACAACTACTTCGCAAAGATAACCAAGGGCTTCATCAAAACGATCTAAACAAATTCTAGTCTCCGGACAGCAACATAATTCTAACGACTTCGAGGAACTTGTCCATTCAAGCAGACAAAAAACCCACCAAGTCGAAGCAAACTACAATCAGTCAAGAAAAAAACAAAATGGAAGCGATTGCTCCACGACCCAAATCGAGATGCCCGCAGCGGCGGCGACCGGCGGTGGAAAGGAACCGAATTTAACCTCATCGGCGGCGGCGACGGCGGAGCCCAGTTCCGGGGACGACGAACTCTGCGAGTCGCTCATCGTCAAGCTCTGATCAAATGGGGATTGATTAACATTTTCCTCCTCACCCCCACCCCCCCGCTGGTCAAGACCTTCCGGTATTTAGTTAAAGTTTGAAATTGAATACTATGGAGAGAGAGAGAGAGAGAGAGAGAGAGAGAGAGAGAAGGAGAGAGAGAACGTGATGCTGATTGCTGAGGTGAAGGGGGTGGGGGGAAGCGAGGAAGGTCAAAGAGGGGGCTGCAAATTGGGAAATTGTTAGGGTTTTTCGGTAGCGACGAAACGGCGACCGATTCGTTAAGTTTGACAGGGAAATGGCGAGAGAGGAGGGAAAGGGAGAAGAGGCGTGAGGGACGTGAGGAACAGGAGACTGGAACTCAACGGCTAAAGAGACGACGATCAGTTCGTAATTTACAATTGCTTTCTTTATTAATTTCATATTCGGGCTAATTCTTACAAAGAAGGAAAATACAAATTTTACTTCGAGCGGCAATTCTGGCACGGACTTTTTCTTTCTGTCTCGATAAAAAGCGCCGACTTGTACTCGAGTCCCAAATCTAGCCCCCCCCTTGATGTGAAATTTTCAAATTGTTCGGATCAGATTTGGGATTTAAGTGAAAGTTCGTGATATTTTACGAGACAAAAAAAAAAAGCTCGGGCCAGAATTGCCGCTCATTGTAAAGTCGGTGCATTTTTTTTTTTTTGGAATTAGGCCAATTTCATTCGAATTAAGTTTTTTTATTTCCTTTTGGCCGACATTCGAATTAACTTGAAAAAAAATATGTTTATAATTTCCAAGAGCAATAATTAGAAAGAAGAGAACAAAAAAAACAAACAACGTTTGTTTCCTATTATCTTAGTTGACTGACTTTTATTTAATTTCCAACGACTCCCCCATATTATTAATAATTGCTTTTTCCCAAGAAGGAAAAGCCGCCTTTTTAATTATAATTACTGGGTACTATTGCAAAACGGTTAGGAGAAACTGCAATCCCATTGGCGTCCATTTTCGCGTCTTGTCCGAGGAGAAGCCGTCCATATCTTGCGAGCCTATCCTATCGCAGAGGACGCAAAAGTCGTGACCGTTTATCAATTACGGCTATAAGATGCAGGACGGCGGATGCCCAAAAAAAAAAAAAGGAGCTAGAAACTTTCGAGGACGAAAGGAAAAAAAAAAAAGGTTGGTAAAATCATAAATTCATAGAGATGAATTAGACTCTACTTAGATCCATACATCGCAATATTGATAGGTGAAATAAGTTGTATTGTGCACCTCACATTTACAAGATGTACGTTCAGCCATATCCTATTCTCAATTTTATATGGTTATCTCGTATGCCGACTCCGGCTCTAGTTTTATAGCAGCTCGTACTTTTAGGGAAAATCTCGAGAGAATACGAAAGCGTGCTTAAATTTGAACACACGTGCATGTATAGTACATATTGAATATAAAAAATTGCAGGCAGTTTTCGGCTTTGAAAGGTTAATTTTTCCCGTAACGTTGTCCTAAGGATTTTCCCCCTTAAGCATTGCATAGTTTGCGGTGCCTCTAATAATCTTAAAAATTTGAGAAACTTATGCATAATCTCCTATATTAATGTTCGAAAAGTTTGGACCTTCTGATCCCTATCGAGAAAAGAAGGACGCACTTCACCCTCAAAATATGTCTACGGTTGTTCATCTAATGCTCCGTTTGTTTCGCGAAAAATGAACGATTTTGAAAACATTTTCCTAAAAATAATCGCTCATAAAAATGAATGAACAAAAAATATTTTCATCATTCATGAAAATATTTATACATAAATTGTAGTTGGTAATGAAAATATTCTCTTCATTGATTAGTTATTTTTAAACGATAAAACTAATCATTTTTAAAGAAAATATTTTTAAAATCATTCACTTTTTCGCTGAACAAACAGGAGCATAAATGTCAATGACATTTACCGAAGGCATTCTCCTTATGGCGTATTAATTATATTTCTTTTGATCAACATTTTTCTTCATGTTGTTTTCACGTAGGGTCACGTGCTTCGGCAAAATTCCAAAACATTTTGCTCTTTATCGGGAACAATCATGGCCCTCCAAAAAAGAAAGAAAGATCGCCCCCGATGTGAAGAAAATTCTACGCAGCCTCCCCCGGCCTTGACACGAGGATTATATGGGCGCAAATGAAAACATTTTTCTTCCCCGCCCCCTTTTTCTAGCTAGAAATAGAAAATTTTATTTCTCTTTTCCAAACGAATTTCTAAGCAAAAAGTAGCGTTTGATTACGGCACAAAATTTTTGTTCTCGCCGGCCGGTGAGCGGCAGCGGCGGGCGAGCGGCCGGCGTGCGACGACGGCAGGCTAGTGGTGGTAGGTGATGGCAGACAGCGACGGATGGCCGGCGAGCGAGCGGCGGGTGGCAGCGGATGGCTGGCTGGCGAGCGGCGACGGCAGATGGCGGGTGGCCGGCGGCTATAGGTGAGTGGACGGCGGTGGGCAGCAAGGATGAGCAATAAAAAAGAGTTGTTATTTCTCTTTCTGTTCCAGAAATAAAAAGTAGTTGAAAATTTTAACTTACCATATCTGTTTTAAATTTATTTATGGGCCAAAATTTGTCCTAGAAATAAAAAATGAAATTATTTTACCAAACGGATTTTTTGTTTCAAATATGTTCCGGGGAACAAAAAAAAATAAAAAAAACAGGGAAACAAAATAGTTATTATTTGCGCCCTAACCATCCACTTGCTCTAATCAATAAATTACCAAGTAACACATGAAGAAAGGATCATCAATTTACCAAAAATAAGTTGCATCGAGTGAAGATTGTTGTCGCAAGATGTTTTTTTTTTTTTTTGGTAACTAAGGATCCGCCACCATTCCCCGGGGACGAGCCCGCACAGGTAATCGGGGCATCTCTACCTCGGGGGAGACTAGCCCAGCAATCCACCGCCAGGGCCTCCCACTTAAATTATGGAACAGAGCGGGGATTCGAACCCAGAACCTCTGAGGAGGGAAGAAAAGCGCCCACCAACTCAGTCATGCGCAAGTGGGTTTGTTGTCGTAAGATGTTCTTCCTCGAAGAGATCAAGACTCTCCTTCGAAGTCAAAAGACCCGAACTGATGAGACGATTCGATTTCATTACTAGGAAATTGCATTGCCGTGTAGGTTGGAGCCAATGCATTAAATTCCTGAGGAAAAGTTCCATCGGTGGCCACATTGACCGAGAATTTTCTAAATTTCCTAGGGCTTCGTCGTCCCGACTTCAACTTCTAATTGGGTGTATAATCAAGAATTAATTCTAAATTCCGAACCTGATTTTCCTTCTTGTGCACGTTATAGCCCCCATTACTCACGCATGACGCACGTCCAGTTGACTTTGAATCCCCGGTTTGACCCATCTGAAACTGAGGATAATAGCATAGAACACAATCAATCTCTGACTTGGTCATGCTTAATCACAAATTAACACAATCAATCTCTGACTTAGTCATGCTTAATCACAAATTGTTCGCTTTTTCTCCACCTTCGTTGGATAAAAAGGGGATGAAATTCCTTTCGTTAGCAAAATAATTTTCGTGCGGCATAATTTGAATGACTTTTTACAGTGAATGAGATGCACGATCAAGGGTTGTCCGGTCGATTTTCACGTGCATGAGGACAAATGCATGAGGGGCGATAGGTGGTATATCACGCGTCAGTCGAACTCCTTGCCTCTTGCTTCACGACTCTCGCGGGGAAGATAGAGAATAATGCAAATATCATATTTTTAAAGACTATTTCGAGGGAAATTTTATGATAAATGGAGGTGCTTTTCGAGAAATCATTTTTCAAGTTAGAAAATTTCATTTTCCTGATCTTAAGTATGTATATTTTCTTCGACCGTAAATGGTTTTCCGTTTGACCGATCGTTTTCAGCAAACCGAACGCGTGAAAGTCCAGAATACTAATTCGCGGAAAATTCTTTCACTCGAACCGACATTATCCCGAGACGAAAAGAAAGCCGCCGCCGCGCCGAATTTATATTAATTTTGGAAATAGGCTTTTCTATTCGGTGGAAACGAACATAACCCCAAATTGAATGACGTGCGCGTCGGTGCCTCTCATGAACAAGAAGAGATCTTGGGCTTTGAAGCTTTGATGTGGCAAGACCATCGATGTGTTGATGAGTTGAACTGGGAGAGCAGGCGGTGTTAGGGGCTTGATAGGCTTTTGATCCAACACTTCATTTGGGCTTTTACCGTAGCGTGCGAGTTTGGGCATGAACGGAGGAATCTCCTCCTTTGAGAAAAGGAAGGTAGGAGAGCTTTTGGAGGGAAAATTACCAAAACAGTACTAAATCAATTGTAATTATGTCAATTCAGTCCTAAACCCTTTTTTTTAACCAATTCAGTCCATCCGACGCTTACGTGGACGCCGGCCGTCCCGCCGACGTTGACGGGCAATTTTTAAATTTTTTTTGAATTTTTATTTTATTTTTTTCTCTTTCACTTTCCTTTTTTTTTTTTTTTTGCTTTCCTTCTTCCCCCGGCCTGTCCGGTGACCAGTGGACTAGCCAGGGGCTAGGGCCGGCAAGGCCGTGAGGCTCGCCCTTGCCGTGGCCGACCTTGCCCGCGACGGCGAGTGCAAGTCTTACCAATGGCCGGCGAGGTTAGCCCTTGGCGGGTTCGGCGACCGGCCAGGGGAAGAAGGAAACCAAAAAAAAAAGGAAAGGGAAAGGGAAAAAAGTAAAAAAAAAATTAAAAATTACCATAGTAGCATCGGCCGGACGGCCGATATCCACGTTAGCACCAGCTGATTAAAATTGACCGGATTAACTGAATTGACACAAATATAAAAAGTCTAGAACTAAATTGACACGATTACAATAGGTTTAGAACTGTTTTAGTAATTTTCCCGAGGTTTGGATGCTCGTGCTTGTTCCGGCAGACTCGCCATCGAATGGGAGAGCTTGGTCAAGACAATAGAATAGGCCCCATCTTGGGCAAGCTTAGCTTTTCTTCTTCTTCTTCTTCTGTTTTTTTTTTTAGGGTAATCGGCTTACAATTTGGATTTGATCTTACTAGAGTTGTAGCACACGTTACGTGCGTGTGCAAAGTTCAATAAACATGTCGAAAAGAGAAGCGTTAATACATTTGAGAGCAGCCTCAAAAGAGAAAAATGGTAGTTATTTTATTGAGCACAGATAATAAGCGGGGATGGTCATTTCTCTCGAGTGGAGCGAGTAGATGTTGAAGTTCCGGATTGAATTATTTTAGGAAGGGTCGTTTTTGAAGGAATAGAAAATGAATCAAATCAAGTTTTTTGGCTCAATATATAGATATCAAATCCATATTATCTATGTACTTTAAGCCAACCTCACTTTTGGCTTTCCAGATTTACCCTTCCATTTTGTACTATCTTTTAAAGAAAATAACTTATTTTTGTTCTTCGCCTTAATATATGTTCTCATCGGAAAACTTTTCCAAGGGTTAAAGTTATAAAAGCGTCACAAGTAGAAAACAACCCATTACTTTTCAAATTAAAAAACTACTCGCTACCTAAGAAAAGCTATACAAATTCATTTTGGGAATGGGGGGGATTCAACTCTTGCTATTGTTCTTTTTTCGTCAATTTCAAAATCATAATATAATCTTGAATGTTGTTGCACCCAAGCAATCAAACAATCGCCTATGATTTGTTATTCAAATGAACTTAAAAATGATTATCGTGCCATGTTTTCAAATCTTACTGGAATAAGTATATATGCATCGCATCTTAGAATTGATTTAATTTAGCCCAACGCAACAATATACACATGATAAGGTTTTACACGGAATATGATTTGCCCTAAGTTGGTTGGCCGAATGATAAATAGGATAACGTATCTTTCACTACTAGATCATGAGCTCAATTCACTTTATGAGAATCATGTTGTGTTGCTTGATCGCTTCATATTAAATTCCTGGCCGCTAAGGGATTGGTGAAGGTACGATGACGGACTTGCTAACCTCGAATCTTCAGGTCACAGGTGGTGTATAAGATTTATGACTCAAATTGGACATTTTTTGTTAGTGTTGTTGACTCAGAACAATTTTTGGAAAGAAGGTGATCTTAAAGGGACAAAAGTCAAAAGCTCAAACATTGCAAATATTTACTGTACAAGCAATTAAATAAACCCAGATGATCAAACTATTTGTGGCCCCTATTATTCCTCGCATAACTTTTCTTTCATCTTCGCCTTTCTTCATCCTCCTCGTCGCTAGCCTAAATCAGTAAAAACATAAAAACCTAGACTCGTCGGACTGTCTCGTAACGTAAATCCCCGTCCTCTCCAGGGGCACAACCGCCAATTCAGCGTACGCGCCGTCACGAGCCGCGCTCAGCATTTATTGGGCACGAACCCGATGCGCGAGCCCCTCAAGTCGAAGCCGACACGTGTCCCCTGCTGCTGCACGTTCCCCAGGATCGACAGCGCCGACGACGTGGGCGCGAACGCGAAGCAGAACGTGCCGTTGGAGTCCACCGGTATCATGTAGTTCTTCGCCGGCAGCGCCCACTCCTTCCCGTCCCCGTCCCCGAACCGCAGCGCCACCGTCGGCACCTCCACGCTCCCCTTCGACGACAGGTCGTAGCACGTGTCGAACAGCGCGAACCCCCCCGCCGCCGGCAGCCCCCGCGTGCCCCTCGCGAACGCTTCGCGCACCGCCCCGTACACCTCCGACCGCAGGCGCGTGACCGCCGTGCCCGAGTCCACGATGATCCCGCCGCTGCCGTCGCGGCCGAGCTGGAACGCCGCCTCCGGGAGCTGCAGCGGGTCGCCGCCGACGCTGATCCCGGTCAGGCCCAGGTAGAGGAAGGTGTCGAGGTGGGGGTTCCGGATCAGCGGCGCGGCGACTGCGTTGGGCGGCAGCGGGGAGCCGAACTCGAGGGTCGAGGCCGAGTCGGAGTCGCGGTCCACGAGGCAGTAGGAGAAGGAGGACGCGTTGAGCTGAGACGGGAACGACAGCGAGCCGCCGCCGAGGCCGAGCAGGCCGGCGGCGCCGACGAACAGGCCCTCGTTGTTGTGGCCGCAGCCGATGGCCACGTCCCTGAGTCGAGTGGAGCCGAGGGTGATGGTCTCCGTCACGAAGTCGCCGACGGTGTAAGAGCCGTCGCCGTAGGATACCTGGTAAAGGCAGCTCCCGTTGCGGCACTCGGAGACGTCGAGCGACCTGCGAGCGCAACACGGCACGAGTCAAACGATAAAAATAATATCTAGCACAATCAATTTCGTCCGACAAGAATACGATGGAGAAGTGGAACCAATTAAAGGTCCTACCTGCATTGTCGGGTGTCGCAGGCGAGAGGGGAGAAGGAAGACGAGGAAGCCGGCTCGAAGATGGGGTCGGCTTGCTGGTAGCAGTCGGCGCAGGGGGCGCACTGCACCCAGTTGACATCGCTCCCGGTGTCGATGACCATGTAGACCTGGCTCGGCGGGTCGCCGACGCCCAGCCGCGAGAAGTACTCGCCGCTCCCTTGGCTCGTCCCGGACACCACCGGGCTCTCGAAACCTTCGGCCCCGATTTCTCTCTCCGCGCTCGCGTCGAGTGGCTTCAGATCTGATTTCGCGACGCCACTGACGGCCAGATCTAAGCGAGCCGCGAGGGACTTGACTCGGGCCGAGTCGCGCTCCAGCCGGGCCAATGTCAAGGACCTGTAGTCCCTCTGCGAAGGTTTCTGCAGCGTAGCCCGTGAATGCAGCTGCAGCGTCAAGGAAGAAGAAGAAGAAGAAGAAGGAGACGACGGCTGAGCTTCTTCTTGCTGGTCGACGGGTATCGTTTTGCGGTCGAGCGAGAAGACGTTGAGGGTGGTATGGATAGAAGCAGCGACGTCAAGAACGGTGGTGGTGGGGATGGTGGATAAGGTGCGAGAGCTGGCCAATGCAATAGAGAAGGAGAAGAGAGTGAAGAGAAGGCAAGAGAGGGAAGTGGGTCTCGCCATTTTTGGGGATGGAGAGAGAAGGTTGTGTAGCTCTGTGGGATTATAAATGGGGCGAGCATGGGGATGGGGGTGCTTCTCTTGATGTAAATCACGCCATTCTCGACGGGAGCTAAAGAAATTGAAAATGTTGGGAAGAGGGAGAGAGAGAGAGAGAGAGAGAGAGTGAGAGTGAAGCTTTCAATGAAGGATGGATTGATAGTTAAGATTCTGAGAGCGGGCTTTGCATGTCCCTTTGGATAATTTCTTCTCTTTGACTCGCTCACCTGTCTCTAGTTTTGTTTGGCATCGCCAACTCCAAGCCAAAAAAGGTCAAAAAAAAAAGAGAGAGTCTTTGATGGAATCGCCTGGTCTCGAGGGAGTTGAAGAGACCAGACTACCTCTCTCTCTCTCTCTCTCTCTCTCTGTTCTGAGTTGGATAAAGAAAGAACAAGTTGAAGAAAGAGAAAGTGAAAAGAGAGCGAGGGTTTTGATTTGATTAGTGGTGGAAATTTGTAAAGCGGGGCTAGGTGTACTATGGTGCCTTGGCTGACATGTTCTTTTCCCCACTCGTTTTTTTGACCGGCGATGGACCCATTTGGGTCTGGTCCGACACAGAAAAGCAGAGCTAATCATCATGGGCTCCGTGATTTTGGAGTTGGACACAAGCAAAGATGAATATGGGGGTCCAAGGCGATTCCGCTCCTTTGAACAGGGTCACTTTTCATTGATGTTATTGCATCAGCCGTAGAGGGGAATAATGATTTTGCATGTTCACATTTCAGCCGATTCATATCTCCTATAAATATATTATTAGGCTATGTTTAGTTGTCTGAATACGGAATGAGATATGATAAGCTATGATAGGATAAGGTGGGATTAGAAATCTTTCGAATTATCCTTCAAATTTGTACAAAATCCTATTATATGTTTGGTAAATATCCGGATATAATATGGATATCGGGATGTGCTATCCACCACTTTAGTGACCTCCTATGGACACGGTGATGCACCCTAAATCCATCTTGAAGCTTCCTCAAATGAAAGCTCTTGAAGCTGAAGATATCTTCCTTGCCAAAAGTTCCTTTTCCTTGTGCAAAATTACCAGCTTCCGCCTTGTCTTCTTATATCAATGGACTTGGTGAGGAGCCCGCCATCGTTCTTTGAAATGTTGGACTTGGGAAATCATTTTGTCGATCAACATACCTTCTGAGAATATGTTACTAGCATATATCGTCCTTATTTTTTGCTAGAGCTAGGCTGTTAATAGCTTCATGCTGACATGGTTTGCTTGGGGAGACCTTTTTCTTGACAAATCTTTTTTGGGTTGATGTTGTAGGCGAAGTGAAGTCGTGCAAGCTTCGTCTTCTGTAACCATGTGGAGATGATCTTTCCTCTCAAGGTGAATCTTCATTTATGTCAGTTAAGTGCCGATTCTCATCATGATTATCCTTCGAAGAAAATGAAAAACTTGCGTGGATCAATTCCATATTTTCTCTTAGTTTTCTTGTTGCTGAGGAACTTCTTTTAGTAGTACCTCTTATTTCTCGAGATCCTTCATTGGAATAGATCTTTTAGTAATCCATGGGGATCCTTCATTGGAAAAGAGGGTTTATTAAGTTATAGGCCGCGCTTTTTCCACTCCTCATTTGACTTGAACACTCCCATTTTTTGTGTTTTGACCATATAATCCTTTATGGGGCCCACCATTTATAGTACAACTCTACAAAAGTGATCTTTTTTTATTATTTGGATATCGTTTTTTTTTTCTTGCGGGGTCTGACTTTCCTTCTTCTTCTTTTTTTCATGCCTTTGACGTCTTAATTCTTCACTCTGGCAAATCGTCTTTGGCCTCCATTGTTGTCAAAGAAAATAGATTACCTCAATTCTCCTAAGATCAAACAACCAGATTAAACATATCATGTATCATTATTTTCAACAAGTCAATTAATGAGAAGCAACAACAGCATCACAAAACTGATGATGAAGAACTTATGGAAATGATAGTGAGAAACTGAACCTAGAGGAAGAAAAATTTTATAAGATGTAAGTATGCTACAAACTACAAAGAAATTGTGCAACTGATTCACAAACACTATTTTGATGCACATTATACTCTAAACGCAAAATTGAATTACAAAATCAAGAATTTCCACGACTCAAAAGTCAAATTCACTTTTAAGAAAAGATATCAAGGAATACTCAATAGAGACCTGGATGAGCATGATTCGAAAACAAGAAAACTAAAAAGAAAAAAAAAACAAGCTTTCGCCAGAACTATACCTCCTATAGCGAATGAGGAGTGTGCGGATTGCTAAAGTAAACAGTTTTTGGATGGACCGAATAATTAAAAAAAATCACTCTTCTATAGTTGTACCAGAAGTGGTGGGTCCCAAAAGGGATGATATGGTCAAAGCACAAAGAAAAAGAGTGTCTAAGCCAAAAGAGTGGAAAAAGCGAGACTCTTAAGTTATTTGTAAAAATATCAAATCTGGGTTTATCCTATTCTCTCTTCCAGAGGTCGTTGTCAAACAACGGATAAGATAATTTGTTATCATATTCAGACTCAAATTCTGACCATCAAACGCATCCCTAAGAGGATGTCATTAAGTGATGGGTACGGGGTGGAACAAGGCCGTAGATCACATTCCCCATCCATACCTCAACGGGCATATATTTCTCTCACACCTTCTTGTGATCTGCCTTCCTACCCATTATTTCTGCCCTAAATTTGCCCCAATCGATGTGGGGAGCCATGAAGCATGGGGAATATGTGCTCGTGCCCATCCCTTAATAACAAAAGTCTCAAAAGTACTCGTTGAGTACCTCTCCATAAGGAAGCCCTTCTCCAACGAGAGATTATGTAGGTGCCTCGGTTCCATCACTAGCAGGAAGCATTGAGATAATTACTGATGCTGCAATCAAATCCTCTGCATTTGACTTTGTCAGTGTAGCAAGGCTGGCTATTGTTGCCTATGATTGCTGTGGCGATTTCAAAGCTGTCTTTTGGATGAAAGATCTGGCATTTTAGGCTCTCTAAGTGGGTGGGAAAGCACTTTGGTTGGCCACTCATTTGGTGGTAGACCATAACCAGCCTATCGCCCAATTTAACGTGATTCACGATTCCTTGGTAAATTCTATTAATGTTGGACATAACACCACTCCCCGGCATCTAGAAGGCATTGTGACCATTTGAATTACGAAATGCCCTTCGTGGTTGCTGTTGGATGCATAGGATAGTAAACACTACTGCACATTCTTTAGTCAATCGGGCTTTGCGCTTTGCTCTTAGAGAACATGTAACATTGTTACTCTTCTCCGCTTTCACTTTTGTACGCACTTTCAGTTAATGTTATGTAATCGCTTCATTTTGTCCAACCAGGATGAGTGATTCTTAGTACTTCAAAACTTTAGAAACTACCATTTCACTAATCTCGAAGTTCTGCATTGCACCATGTTAACTCTCCGCTACTTTACATCTTATTAAGATAAACTTTGACCATTGCACTTCTATAGTAACAAATTTATTTCTCTGTCTTATGCATTGTAGTGATGAGAAAGCCATTTTAGAGAGGGTTGCATATTAGTCAATAAGAGGAATCAAGTTTATAGCAATTAATAGGCATAATTAATGCAGTGTGATTAAAACACGACACCGGTTTATAATATAACATATTAGATATCGATTGGTTGAAAGATGACCAATAGTTAATAATCATCGAATTACTCACCATTCTGTCGGAATTTGCCCCTTCAATTATGTATCTTTCTGGCATTATATACGTGGTATTTGTAAATTGGAATACTGGATCAAATAGTGTCTCTGTAAAACTTCACCTGTAATCGGTTGAAGTGGGAGAAAATATTGGATGGTCCCACTCCACCACGTCAGCGTGGCCCCGGACCATTTAGAGATTGACATGTGGCGCCTACAACATTCGGTGGGCCTCACTTGACCTGCACAAAAATTCACTTTTTCTCTCATTTCAAAATAAAGGTTCTCTCTCCTCGTTCTCTGATGAAGAAGAAGTACGAAGACAACACTTTCCCTCTCTTTCTTTTCATTGACGAGGCCTGGCGATGGCCGGTGGCGAGAAAAAGGGAAGAAGAAAGAAGAAAAGAAAAACAAAGAAAAAAAAAGGAAAAAAATTCAAATAATTAAAAAAAAAGTTGCAAATATTATCCACATTAGAGTCGACCGTGCCATGTAAGATGGCCGGTGCTAACTACATCGCCACGCTAGAGATTTTCGATCAAAATTAGCCGGAGTGACTAAATTGACAAATCGTTAAAAGTTTTAGGATTATATTGGCAAATCATCAAAAGCTTTAGAATTAAATTGACAAGTTGTGAAAAAGTTTAGGACTAAATTGGCACAATCGAAATGTTCATGACTGAATTGGCAGCCTTACAATAGGTGTAGGACTTTTTGGACAATTTTCCCTTCAGGAGACTATTAAGATGCCATCACTTTATGTGTCAAGGAAATCATAAGAAACAAAAAAACCTCCCGTGGTAATATAAGTATAATTGTTTGGACTTTTTCAAAATAGATGTCGATCAACACACCCTCTAAGTATATTGTGTTTCATCTTCTTACCATGTCGAATAAGAATGGTTTTTGAAGTTCGCTAATGATATGACTCGAATTTATGTTTCGAGAAGGACATATTCGACACTTGACCATAGATCCAACAATACTTGGTGGTATAATAGAATCATTTCTTTTATGGGTATACAAGATGGGGACGGGTGATCCACACAACTATTCTCTCTAGCGTCACAAGAATGATAACATACCTGCAAAGAAACATTCGATATGAGACATAACTACTCGGTCCATTTATAGATATAAGAGTTTGTCATCTCAACATTATTGACTTATTAGAAATCAAGAAAGTCACTCCACATGAGATAACAAATGTCCAATTCAAGCCGATCATAAGTTCGCTTACGACATGACTCGAACTCGTGATTTCACAGCTGATAGCGTGAACTTTTATCATTGGGCTGCCACACTCAACGGTACACTAATGTTTATCCTGTATTTGGCCCAAAAAAAAAAAGGGTTTATCGTGTGTATTGGATATAGACACTAGCCGGTACACGACGGTAGGCATGTAGATCAGTGAGATTAAAGCAGCCACGAGCATTATATTCCTTTCACTTTCTTCTAATAAGTCGGTGGTGGGATGCTTACAATCTTTAGCTTTCCCCCAAAGTTAAAGGCCTCTTTACGAAGAAAAAGCCTTGACCTCGATGCCTCCAAAACATTGCTTTTTCCCCATCACTCCGATATAAATATAAGCACTACGTAAGAGATTGGGCGATTAC